AATTTTAATTTTAATTAAAATTTATTTTAATTGTAAAAATAAATTAGAACCATGACTAAATAATAATATTAACTAAATAATCTAAAATTTTCTACTATTGATTGGAGCGCTTTTTTTTAAGTTTGAAATTTCAATCAAATTACAGTCAAAAATGAACATGAATTTAGAAATTGTGATGGACTATGGTTAATACTAATAAATAAGTTAAAATCGATACAAAAGAAAATTGATTGTTTTGCGAGTTTTTTTCGCTATTTCACCATCGTTTCAAATACTACAAAGAATAATCATACTATGATAAGAAATTGATAAAAAATATGGTATGACAAATGAGTATTTTATTTTTGAACTTTATAATTTAAATTTCCTCCATTAAGCAACATGTCAGAATGGTAAAAATAGGAAAAAATCACTTCTGACTGAACTTTTCTCAAAACTGTTAGATAAAAGAAACCTTATAAAAGTTATTATCAAATATATTTTTACAAAAAAAAAACTGAATTTAGAAATACGTTTTCCAAATTTCATAAACATATCACATTCGATAATAAATGATTTGAATAGGAAAAATTTTGTAAAATAATTTCGATTAGATGGTCACAAGAAATCTCTTCGCAAAAATCAACAATTACTGTTTCATTATTTGCACTTTATATATTGAATGTGAAATATTTTCAATTTGAAAATAGTAATTCCTTCAAAGTATTCCAATCAATTTCTAATCAATTCTGCATGCAACGATCGAATTGGAGCATTTCCTTTAATACGTTAATAATCAAAGCTGTTGTAAAGGGATTCCCTCCACATATTTTATAACTTTAATTTAAATTAGGATAGAATGAAAAGGTCAGCCAACGCATATTGTTCTTGGAATAAGTTAAAACATATCGTTGAAGAGATCGATCAGAACGTGCCGTGCATTTAGAGACGAAATGAGAGTGACGAGTGACGTTCATTAAGAGTGATTTTTCATTTTTTTTTTTTTTTTTTTTTCATTCATTAAGAGTGACAAACAAAACCAAATGCAATTCTCTCTGTTATACTGCAATCATCAAGATGGATATGCTCGAGAGATTAACGTAATTCTTCATCTAATAAACAGTATATTGATTATAATGATAAGAAAGATATATACTGATATAGCTAATATTATACTGATAAGTGTATCCATATCTAGCATACTAACTTCTAGATGTTCACCTGTTTTATCTAAAATTTGCGTCTTCTCAATTATTGATTCCTGGAATGATTTGCTGTATTTACATGCTATCGAGAGTTTAATTAAGATTCAAAATAAGGATGTAAATTAATTTCATTTACCACATTAATTTCTAGCTTCATTCACTTTATACTGCATAAGTTTGTACTTTTTAATAGTATTTCAGTGTCAAAATGAGTTCTTCAGATAAATTTTATCAATTTTAGATGTCATTGTTTCGTGCAACGACCATATTCAATCATAGTCGTATTCTGCAGTATGACATTGCAAAAGAAAATGCAAATTACCATGAAATTTATGAAATGCAATGAAACAAACAGGTGAGCATCTAGAAGTGATAAAACTTAGAGAAACAATTCATTGATGATATCCATGAAGCTTAGGTGAGGTTGAAAAATCGATGTCTTAAACTTCCGAAACAACTCCTATAATTTCATTTCTTTGTTTAAAATCAGAAATCTACCAAATATATGAGATAAAAAATGCGGCGAAAAAGGAGGAAAAATTCAAATAGGTAGACCATAAATAATTCCTGTACTAGTCAAAGATAGAAAAGAATAGAGAGCCAATAACACCGGTAGTTTTTCTTTTGATCTTCTTAATTCGGGATGATTTTTCCTCCCCCACTGAACATTATGCCATTATCAAATCTAATTTGACATGGACAAAGATCACTGCTGAAAATTGAACTATTTGAAAATAAAAAAAAAAATTAACCTTGATGATGTGGCCTTAATACCTTCGAATTTCTTCGTCGAGCAAAGATATGGTATCTTGAAAAACAATTTTTGTTGATAGTCTTCTCAAATTTCATAAGATCCTTAAAAAATAATCTCCTTGTCAAAACATTTTTTGTTTAAATAAATCAAAAAAAAAATAAATAAATAAAATTTTGACATTGCCAAAATAATATCTTAGTATGCACTAAATACAAAAAAATATACTCCTTAACAAGAAATAATATGAATAAAGTTACGAAAAGCATTCAGTTTATAGAGTTAACCAAGAAATGCATGCAAGGACAGTGTTAATAGAAAAAAGAAAAATATTAGCAAATGGAAAAAAAAAAAAAATGAAAAGCATGCAGTTAATAAAATTAAAAAATGAATGCAAAAACAATGTTAATAAAAAAGAAATGATATAAGTAAAGTTTAAAAAATGTTAATAAAGTTACAAAATGCATGCAAAAAAACAAAAAAAACAAAAATGCAAAAATGCAAAAACGCATGCAAAAACAATTCTAATAAAAAACGAGCGGAAATGACGAAAAAAAGCATGCACTTAATTAAATACAAAAAAATGCACTAGTTAGCAAGAAACGAAAAGCATTCAGTTCATAGAATTAACCAAAAAATGCATGCAAGGATAGTGTTAATAGGAGAAAGAAAAATATTAGCAAATGGAAAAAAAAAAAAAAGAAAAGCATTTAGAATTAAAAAATTCATGCAGAAATAATGTTAATCAAATAAAGAAAATAACAAGTGACAACAAGAAAAAAGCATGCACAAATACAAGAAAAAAAGTGTACTCGTTAACAAATGGTTAACAACAAAAAAGTTAAGCTACAAAAAGCATGCAATTATTAGAAATAATCATACATGCAAAAATAATGTTAATAAAAAACGAATGAGACCAACAAAAAAACATGTACTTAAATACAAAAAAATGTAAGTCATAATAATAAATGGTTTGAGTAAAGTTACAAAAGCATACAATAAACCGAATCAACTAGAAAACGCATGCAAAACAGTTACAAAAAGCGTGCAACTAATAGAATTGACCAAAAATGCTAATAAAAAACGAATGAGAACAACGAAAAAATGCATGCATTTAATGAAACGAAAAAAAAAATGCATGTGTTAGCAGTAAATGGCATGAGCAAAGTTGATAAAAAGCATGCAATTAGTACAAATAACCAAAACACACATGCAGAAACTATGCTAATGGGAAAATTTTAGGAAAATAATGGTAAATAGGAAAAAACATGCAGTTAATAAAATATAAAAAAACTTACTGTATGGGTGCTGGCAGTAAAAAAAACATGCAATTAGTAGAAATAACCAAAAATATATGCAAAAACAATATAAACGAAGAGAAAAAATGAAACAAAAGAGAAAGTGATATTAATTAGTAATAGCACAATGAGCAAAGTTAGCAAAAGCATGCAACAAAAATAATTGCAAAAACAATAAAAACCACAAATAATCCAAAAAAATATTACCTAACATAACAGCAAATGAGATCAAAAAAAAAAACATGCAGTTAATAAAACACAGAAAAATTCCGAAAAATAATTTGAATAAAAACGAATTAGTTTCAAAAAACGATAGAAAGAATTTAGATTTTAACTCAATCCAAAAAAAATTGAAAAAGCAAAAATTTAAAACTAGAAACTAAGTATTTTTAAAATCTTTTTAAAACCCAAAGCTGTATCAATTCAGAAAAATATCACTAAAAATGAGTGGAGATCAAGAATTTGGAATTTATTCTAGATTTCAGAAGTTCTTTATCCGAATTTCAAACGCTAAACATTTTTTCTACATACTTGTTTACATGCTATATTGACAAAGGTAGGTATAATTCTATACCTCCCTTCGATCACCCCTCCCCACCCTACCTCCTCGCCCAAATACATACAGAGGTAATTACAAGAATGGGTACCAACTCACGATTTAGCTCAAAAAGAAGATTTAAAATTATATCTTATTAAATTGATCTTTTATTGATAACTTATCGTATTTAAATTAGAAGACTAACTTAAAACAGACCGAAACATTCAAAAATTGCTTAAAAATGTATGCAAACGAAGAAATTTGTGCTAATATTTAATAAACAGAAAATCATCGTAAAGTGTAAAGAACTTACTATAAGTTAGAAAATACAAAAACAAAAATGCATAATAAGTTGGTACCTGATGTACACAGCAGTAAAATTAAACAAAAAAATTTAACTCAGTTAGTAACACTAAAATAACAGTGAAAACTTTCACTGAACAAAAATAATAGATAAAGTAACATAATGGATAAAAAATGAACAATGGTTGTGAGAGGTTTAAAAAACAAAAAGACAGTTATAAGTAATAACTATCGAAAAAATAACTATCAAAATATATAACTGTCAAAAAATATCAAATAACTATCAAGAAATTAAAAACATTAAATTATTCGCAACGATATTTCAATGAAAATAAGTAAAATACAGTAGTAAATTTTTAGCAAAAATTAGCTGCTGACAAAGAGCTGGTAAAGAAATAAAAAAAAAAAAAACAGTTGATTTCAAAGCAGTTGGATCTAAGGTGCCCCATATTTGATTTTTAGCACGCTATGCTCAATTTTGTGACAGCAGAAAAAGGAAAATTCCCTTTCAAAAGCTTTTGATTATAAGAGGTAAATGACACATTGAAGTATAAAACAATTACAAAGTCCTTAGTATTTTCCATAATTTGAAATCAGCTGTTTTTACATCTAATCCAATAGCAAAACTATTTTTTATCTTTATTTTTTCCATTTTTTAATTTTTTTTTAAAGTCTTTTTTGATTTTTTTGATTTTTTTTATTTTTTCTTTTTTGATTTTTTAATTTTTTTTATTTTTTCTATATTTTGTTTTTTGCATTTTTTGATTTTTTTTTTATTTTATATTTTTTATTTTTTATTTTTGCATTTCATATATTTTTTTTATTTTCCGAATTCCACTAACCGGCTTGGAATGCATTTCATTGGAAGAGGATGGAGAACAGGAGCAGGCAGCGACAGGTTGAAGCACGGGGAAGGCCAGACAATTTCATTGGCCTGAAAAAAAAAATTCACTGATTAGAAAAATATGAGAATCACTTCATAAATATTTTGCTTTTTATGATCATTTAATTTTTCCTTTTTAACTTTTAAATCTCACTTCTTCAATATCCCTGTTTCTTACCTGGAATGAAGAGGTGATGGGCATCCTCTTCTCTTCCCACCAGATCAAGTCTTCGGCGCTTCACCTGTCGTTCGTTTATTATGGCCGCACATGCCCTCGGGCACCAGTCGAGGGCATGAAGTTCCACCGCTGCCGTTCTCTGTGCGGCCGTAAATCCGGGTGGCAGCAAGAGGTTGTGCCCACAGCGGGAGCAAAAACCTGGAATACGCATCGATAATGAGTCTATTGGTTTTAAATAAATCAAATATAGCAATATTTTTAAAAACTAATTGGAAATTCCATTTCAAAATACTTACCATCTTGCTTGTGTGTTCTTGAGGCGTGAATACGCCACCCTTTCAGTGTCTCAAATTGCCTGCTGCAGAGATCACACACTGAAAATAGAAACTATTAGAAAGAAAATATTATTGCACAAATTGTTGTTAGAGTATCGATATGAGAATGAAAATCATAAATATAATTTTATCAATAAGAAATCAAAAAATATGATTACATTCCTTCTACAAATTACAGCATGTAATCATTTCCAAAGTTATTAAAATTATAAATTACCGATATTTTTGCTTCCTTCTCCTTGAGCTATCATGTATGGCTCCACCTGCGGCACTTCCAACTCCATTCGGAGTTGCTCCGGAAGGTCTTTCAAGTCAGCTGGTTGAAACTCTTCCGGTCGTGCCGCAGCCAATACTTCCTGCGTGGCAGGAACCGGGATTCTGATCGTCCTTGATCGTCTGAAACAAGCTTTATTTAATGTAGATTATTTGGCAGAGAAAGGTAGTATCTGTCTAATTAGCAAATTACTTTGCTTTACAATTGTTGATAAAAAATTAAACTTACAGGTCGAGTTCACGTACTGTTTCTACCGGTTCCGCAATGTCACTCGTCTCCATTGGTGCCACCGGTGCCTCAAGCTCTTCTTCTTCTTCACTGTCTGGCAGAGGAGCCCACTCTGCCTCTTCTTCGCTAAATTCCGGCTCCTGAGGTACCGGGTCCTCTTCCATTACTGCATGGGCACTTTGCCCTACCAATTCCTCCAACCTCCACCCCGCCTCCACCATGCGTTCTATGAGCGAGCGTTCAAACTGAAAAGGCTACTTTTTACAGTTGAATTTGAGGCGGAGAGAAATTCAGCAATTGTTTACACTGTCATTAATTCATACGAGAAAAAAAGCAGAAAAAAAGAAAACAATGAGAAAATTACCTGAACTGTCTCGCTCAAAAACCTCTTAATATGCGGTACATTTCAGGCTTCCTTTTCAAGTATTTAAAGACCACTTTTATTTCTTGTTCCATGGGAGCCATCATCCTAAAAAATTGGCAAATTTACCAAATATTCATCAAGTACAAAAGCACGTGATGCAACTATTACTTGCATATAGTAAAAGAATACGAAGTTACACATTTCAATTTACCTACAATATAATATTATTTATGCTAATTATTAAATATCATACATAATATAAGAAAAGAATGACAAGAAAAAATGACGAAGATGAACATCTATAATAATATTTTTCTGTATTCTTTCGCGCTCGTGGAAGATATGCAAATATTTTACTTTCTTTTGTCTATATGGAGACTGTTATATATATATATATTTTTTTTTCTAGCGAATATCATTTCCTTTCTTTTCTGGTCTCTCTACACCTCAACTTTTTTTTCTCAATTATTTCTTTTAATTAGTGAAGTTTTTTATTGAATTTCTTTAAAAAAAAGAAAAAAAAAATCCTGCAAATTATCACTTCTGATTTTTGCATAATTTAATGACATTTTTTCTGCAATTTTTTCCTTTATATTGCTCACATTCTTTACCATTGTCTAATATTTTTATATCATTATGATAGCAAAGATGCAGTGTCGGCAAAAACAATGCAATTATGGGATTTGCTTACACAAATGACGTTCGATTTACTCATCCTTTTAATCAAATATTATTTAGTAAGTCACTGCAAAGACCTTTTTGATTTTATTCCTGCAGATTTCTTTTTTTTTTTTTCAATTGCTTGTTTTGTAATTTAGTCGAAATTGCTGTATCTATATTTTATTATGGTGCATTGGTGATAGAAACGATGTCTAGTGATAGTTTTTTTTTACTGAAATTTTATTTCATCAAAGTTAATTGTTTCTATTATGTAAATGGACTCAAAACTTTCAAATATTTTCTTCCTTCAATATTGAAATATACACATACGCTTTTAGGATTCATTCCCAATTAATTCTTACTCTGGTCTTGCTTTTGTTTTCAATGTTTCAAATTTGAATTTGACCCAACTTTAAAATTTGATTTCTTGATTTCAAACATTTCTACAGTAAATGAAATGACCCATTTTTGTTTTAAACTTTTTATGCATTCATTACAGTAAATAGCTGATGAAGGATACACATGAAAGCGTGTTTTGATCCTATGACTTTTCGTGAGTTGCTTTAAATAAATTTACATTCATCTGTCTCTATTAAAGACTTACGTGGCCATAGGTCCGTTAGAATGTAAACAGTGATTTTGTTTTAGTCATAGTTGGTTTCATCTTCAAATACTATTTAATAATCAATCTTAGGTAAATGTTGTTTCAGATATTTTTGTTCTTTTTCATTTCTATATATATTTTTGATATAGGCCAATCTATTGTTGAAGGGATATGAAAAAAAAAAAAAAAAAAACACTACTGTAACTAGGAATTTCGAATCTTATTATTTTGATTCTATTTACTTTTGTGCTAATTTAAATACAAACAAAATATAAAGTGATATCCTCTAACCTACATCTTAAGGATGAGAACTTATTGCACTTAAAAAGCATGAGTTTTACAAATCCATGAAAATTAGAATTGAGATTACCATTTAGAAGATGAAAAGTTTAAGCAGTTCTACTTCATAACATTAAAATCATTACTCTCTATAATTCCAAAATCTTTCTAATCAGAAAAAAGGCGAATATATACATATTTTTTAAAATTATTCTCAACAAAACTTGATTACGATAATGATGCAATATCAGTCACTGTATGATCAAACATTATAGATGAATATATTTTATTTCAAAAATGAAATAATAAAATTTTGAAATGAATTAATAAACTTGGAAAAAAGGATGAACAAAAGCAGATTCAATTCTTACAATTAAAATTATTTTTTATTTCAAATTATAACATTGATTTTTATGAAAATCATACAATTTATAATAGTTTTGTATATTGAAATAGGAAATAAATCCTAGTATCATCAAATTCCATTTTAATTAAGTATTAATACTATTAAAAAATATTAGTTCATCAAAAAAAAAAAAATAGATTTTTTCAACTTAATTGATTATTTTATATGCATTGCATGAGTACTGGTCATGTACGGTATATTTATTTGACAGCTTAAATAATAAAATAAATTTTAACAATTAAGTTCTGAAATATATTAAAATGAAATTTTAATGAAATTTCAAAATTTATTGTTATTCTCTTCCAAGCAAAATATAAAACTTTGTAAATTATCTACTAAAGTATGTAAATATGTAAAAAATGTGATATATACAATTGAACAATTGAAGCAATGAAATTATGCAAGAAAAACAATAAAAGGATAACAATAATGAAAGATGCTAAAAAGAATGAAAGCTTATTAAGGTAATATAAAGTATAAAAAAATTTTAATTTTTAAATCTCATTTAAAATTAATATTATCATAGTAATTTCAAAATCATTTCAAAATTAATGTTACCATTAGCTAATCGAATGTATTATTAATATTTTATTTATTACAATTGCGAATAAAATTCTAATGGCTAAAGAAAACGAAAAAATAAATATTATTTGTGTGTGAAAAAAAACCATTCATTAAGCAATTGAATATGTTATTATTAAATATTTTAATTGAATTTATTCAATATTGCTTGAAAATTGCATCTATATATAGTCAATCGTTGTTTTTTAATCTCTATCTCAGTCACCACACTATAAGCTGTCGTTTTTAATTACTATCTCTCTGTTGTTATGCTTTAAATCGTTATCACTTTAATCACTATCCTTGTTATCTCGGTAAAACTGAAAAATAAAGAAAGAAAAAAGGAAAAAAAAAAAAAAAAAAAAAAACAAAGATAATAAAATTGTGTTTGATGATTACTGTACTGTTAAAATATGCAAAGAGATTAAATAAACTATACAAAATATTCCAAAATTTAATTTTCAAATTTAAAACATCTCTAAGCTTTTAACTATGCTACATATATAATGTTTTCAATTGCCCGAATATAACTTAAAATAGTTCCAAGATTCAATTATTCGAATATAACTTTAAATAGTCTTAAAATAACTAAAATATGATATAATCTGACGAAAAAAAGGATGATTTCTGAAAGTTTTAACCATTATTTGTGTAAAAAATTCGTGATAATAATAATATATTTGTTACTTTTTTTTAAATAAAAAAACAAAAAAGAAAAGGAAATTTTAATTAATCATTAAGAACGGATTAACGTATCAATTTTATGTATAGTTGATAAAATTTTCAACATAATCATTCATATATATTACTAGAGGATTGATAATTATACATCACTATTTTTGTATTTTTTTTTTCGATAATCTTCCAATATTATTATAATTTTATCGATCAATTAATTTTTATATTTCAATATAAAAATTAATTGATCCTCAGTTATCTCTTTTTTTTTGAAATTTCATTACAATAGAGATAATGAATTTGCTATTGAATTATTTTAACAAAATTATAAAAGCTTATCAGATTATGCAGAAAAAAAAAACTTATTTATTTTATGCATATTTATATTCCCAACGGATGAATTTACCTTTTTTCTTTTTCTTTTTTTTGTATAAAGTTCTCCAATAATTATTTTAAATAACATCCACTGAATCATCTGTAACTTTTTTTTCTTTTTATTTTTTCCAAAAATCTTTATGCATCAAATATGAAATCTATATTTATAGAGAAAGTGAAACAAAAAAATGCAATTATTTAGGATTTAATTTCAAATATATTAAAGAATAATTTCAAATATTTCATAACTGAATTGTAATAAAAATTCGTATAAAAAAAGCAAATTTATTAAACAAATACTATGAAGTTTTAAATTTATTGAAATAATTATAGTATTTGAATTTGTGAAGTTAATTTATAAATGTAAAAAATTAAGAAAAATTAAAATTTAGCTTATAAAAACACAATCAAACATTTAATAATACAAGGATAAAAAATATAATTGTTTATTTAATAATACAAAGATAAGATACAATACAAAGTCATTTCATATAAGCAACAAAAGGATAGGAGAAACGCTTCTAGTTGTTTAATATAAATATTGCAAAAAACCTATTAACGACAAAATTATCACCATTTACAAATGTTGTAATTTCGTTATTCCTTATAAATGTGTTAGTTGATAATGCAGTATCAATTTTATGTCAATTCCATTTAATTTTATTTTATTTCCTGTTTTCTTCAATGAACAAATAGGCTAAAAATTTAAATCATTTCATACTTATTTATATAAAACACACAATGTAAGATGTTAACAGCAACAAACTATGACTTTTAAGACTTATTACATAAAGTTACGCATGCAATCACGATAATCAATATTTTGACGATTAATGACTACCAAATGAAAACGACCGTAATCATAAACATAATTTCTTTACGACTATTACAAGTTACTGCTTCATGCAAAAGTAGTTATGATTTCATCACGAAATTTATTGTTATTAAAAAGTGTAATAAACAACCCGAGTTAACAGAAACTTCCGAACAAAGCAATCTCAAATATACCTTAGTATTTAAACCTAAACATTCCTGCAAATCAATTTTTACAGATCAGTGGTGGAAATTCCGGTCGGAGGATGAACATGAAAGAAAGACAAAATAAAGTGATTGTGAAATGAATAACCGAATTAAAGTACAAAATGAACTATGCAAGACATATCCGTAAATTTTATTACTTCATTTTAACTTACCGTTCAAAATTCAGCAACCAAAAACCAGATAACATAAAAACTAAAAGCAGAAAGAAAAAGTGCATAAGAAAAGATAACAGATATGAATAATCAGCAACTGATTTTTTCCACTTTTTCTAGAAAAATCAGTTATAAAAAAAGTTTCAATAATTTTTTTTCAATTTTTTTGCATTATCCGCTTTCTTCTTCAACTTATTGGCCAATATTTCAATGCTGTCTTCGACAACACTGCTGGCTTTACGTTTCTGCTTCTCTTCAGCCTGCAAAAAAAGTAAATAAACAAAAAAAAATTTTTTTTTTCTATGCAAAATAACTCTTTTTGCTATCAATAAAACGTTTATGCATATTAAAAATTAATAAAAATTGGATTAAATTGTCTACAACAAAAGGAAACATTATGGAAATATGATAACTTCGAATGATTTATGTGTGAAGGCTCATGATGAATAAGTAAGAATAAATAACATGGAATAGCAAATGTTAACCTACATAATTTTCAATTTTTTTTTTTTTTTTAAAGTGAACCCTCATTCAGCTATGAATGCATAAAATGTGTTAAAATATATAATGTATTGAATCTACTGAAATATAAAATAAAACTTAGTAGTTAGGACCACTGCATCAAATGATAACTAATATTGCAAGCGAAAACTGAAAAGAAGTTTGGAAAAAAATTAAACAAAAAATAACCAAACTTGAATTCGAAAAAAACAAAAGAAAAAACCTGTCTTAGGGCGAGTTTTGATGATTTGAACAAAGGATGAGATTGATCAACAGCAAAAGCACTGTTGCTATACAAGGCTTTGAACCTTAAAAAACGATAATTTCACTGTTTCATAATTTTCTCTTATACAGTGAACTTGAGAGATTCATTGTCTACCATTTCGGATAATAATTATAACCCTACGTATTCCACAACATAATATAATATAATGTATATATAACAGCGCTGGAAAGTTAATACAACTCCTGGAATCTTGTAACCGAAAAGTCAAAAGCTATAATATAAAATATTAATAAATACTTAAATAACTACCAAAATTAGTAATGCTATAGATCAGTTTTCTCTTGTTTACCTAACAAAAAAACAAAAAAAATTTTTTTAAACAAAATTAGAGCTGGAAATAAATTTATCGAAGAGATTACCTTTCGTCATCGATATAATCTGACTCAGTAGTTTTGACATCTTTTTTCAGCTTATTTTTTGCCGATGACTTAATATTATTTTCCGTAGTGCTTTCAATCATTTCTGCTTTTTGCTTTTTCTTCAACTCAGCAATCATAGCTTTTCGTTCCTAAAAAATGCTGAGACTGAAACTATACAAGACTTTTTTTAGATTAAGGTTATAGAGTATCCGGTCAAAATGCCTCATGCATTGTAGCTGCTATTTTTACACTTAATTCAAAACCATATACCATCATTATTAAAAAAAATATATAAAAAAATATAAATATACCATCATTTTATTAAAAAAAATAAAAAAAATTAAATATACCATCATTTTATTAAAAATAAAAAAAATGATATCTCCTAAAAATTACTGCCAAAAGGGTAATTGTTACCACAACAAGAATTCATATGTACTTTATAAGACTTCAAAAAGTACTAACTTTACGCTTGGCTTTTCTCTTCTCAAGATATTTCTCCCAAGGTGTTGGTTCATCGCACTTTTTCTTTTTATTATTCAAAATTGTATCATCCGTCATTTCTACATCCCATGTTACTTCCATCACCGAATCATCTTTTTTGAAAGCTTCTGTTTTAGCTTCTTTTAGTAAGGCTATACTTTTCCCCGTTTCATCGTCCTCTTCATCAGATGAACAAGGCGCCAATAAATACCTAAAGATTTACGACCATCAAAACATTACCATGTAAAATCGAAAGTGAAAAATGCTACAAAATTCAATCTTAAAATCAGAGTCGTGCAAAACGCAAAATTCTATCAACATCTGAAAAGAAATATTTCTACTTCATATATTTAATAGTACTCACTGCACTTGATCAAGATCTGCATCTGGAAGAAATGCATCTCGTTCTGCTTTGATGCGCTCTGGATCTGTTTCATCCCACGTGAGTTTAGCAGACGACTTCGATAAAGCAGCACTTTCAAAATTCTTGGGCTTAAACGCATTCAAATTGATATCCTCTTCAGTAACTCGCTCCTTCACTGAATTATTCTGAAATATTTGACGAGAAGTATATTTGATAAGTAATAAATGAAAAAGTGACTAAAGTTTTACAATCTTAGCACTAGCGATGAAATATGATCAATCGCAGAATCGAGAAGATAACAAAAGATAATAAGAACTTGAAGTATTGCTTTATTTTACGCAATCATTACAATCTTCTTTTAAGTATCAAAAGGTTTAAAACAAACTTCAAAGATCATTTCATCGGGTACAAAGCGAAGATCCAAACGTACAGCGCTACTTTCGAATTCAACACCATCACATGCTTCATAGAGACATGAGGCTGTTTCTACTCCATCACATTCAATAATAGCATAATAATATCTCATTCTTTCCAACTGATAAGCTCTCATTGCTTCACGAGTTATTCTGGAAGATTATCTTATTGGATAATTAAGAAACCAAAGAAACCAAAACCAATACTGTTGAAGTCATACTGGAAAGACTCAAGTAAGCCAAAAATGAATACTGCAATGTACCAAACAAATAGGACCCAAGCAATCTACATATTCCAAAAAATTTCTACACATATATATTTCAGGTCACTTTATCTTTTGCAACTAGTTTTCAAAAGAAGAATACGAATAATTTACTCATCCATTTCTTCAGTATCCTCAACTGGTTTCTTCAATTTAGTCAATTTTGGACCCATACGTTCTTCTTCTTCTAAACGCTTCTGACCAAAATCCGATTTATATATTGTCACTGAGCGGATAGCTAGGAAAAAAAATTTTTATTCATCTTAGTTTACCGTAGCACATGAAAAAAGAGAAATCTATAATTCCTTTTTTTTTTTATTTTTATGTCGTAAAACATGGAAAGATCTACCAGCTGGTGCAGGTGGCTTGAACGAGGAAATCATAACAAAAATATCAGTAGCCGAAATTCGATCCCACTCCATATTACATAAAGCTAAACGACGAGATGCCCATTCGACCCGACGAGCATCTCTATCAGTTTCACCCCAATCGTGTGTTTCGTTTTCCTCCTGGATCACACTTTGGATACTTTTGATAAAAATGATTATAGAGCAGTTCACATGAGATAATAGTGCTCAAATTAAATAACTAGTTTAATGTTTACTACAATTTTTGCTTAATAAGTAATTTCTAGATAGTAGGGAGAATGAAAAAAAAAATTTTCAGTTCTCTTTTGTTCCTCCACTTTCCCCGTTGCACGTTAACAGAATACTAAAAGATAAAAGACTGATATGTATAAAAGATAAAAGATATATATTAACCAGAAAATATAGGTAATACCTCAAACAAAAAATAGCAAAAAATAGCATAAAGTTTACTTTAAAGCATAAAGTTTACTTTAAAGAGCAACAATCAAAAACCTACTTCGTCCATCTCCCATTCGGAAGATGAATCTTCGTCACTCGATGTTATATTACCATTCCCACGGGCTAAATCAATTTTAATTTCCTTTTTCTCCTCTGGTTCAAAATCCGAATTACTATAATCATCATTTGACAATTCGTACAAAACATTCAAATCATTTTTTGGTCTTAGATTAACATGTCGTCCGCGCATGTCCACATTACTTCTTGACGCAAATTTTTCACTTGCCAACATGTCCTTAAACCTAAAACTTTCATAAAGTTATAGAAAGGAGAAAAAAAAGCAGAAAAAGCACTTTTATGTGCATTTCAGTTTTTGAAAACAGAACTCCTAACAAGATAAAAAAGAAGCAATTTTCACATGAAGGATTATAAGGTAAAAGAAAACAAGAATATGTTTTAGGTCATTAAGAATCTAACAGGACAAAAGTTTTTTCTTGAGAACTACCACGTACCACATTGATGTGAGAGTACAAAAGTACCATAAAAATATGTGACACTGCTATTATTAAAATTTATTAAAATTTCATTTTTGAAAGTTGTTATAAAGCTATTATTTCAACACTTATCGTTGACCTTCTCGATATATTTTGTTCTTTAAACAGAGAACACTAAGGTCTGCTAAATTTGTACGAAAAATACAAATCAACAAAAGTAAGGCGAAATAGAACAATTTACACTGAACAAAAGAAACGTACCTTTCATCGACCACAACTTTTCTCTCTTTCCGCGGTAGTGCATCAAAGCGCGGTTCGTTTAAAACCGTCTTAAATCTTTCATCGTCTATGCTTCCCTTTTTCTTTTTCTTCATATTTTTCAGCTTTCTTTGTTCCATATAGAAAATTAACTTGCTCTCTGAAAAAGTATGGAATCGATGGGTATTAAGCCTTCGAAGGTATTAAGCCTTATACAAAACAGTATTACTGCTTCTTAGGTATCTATTTGATTAAATAATTACGGGACGTTTTAGTATCAAGGAATACTAGCGGCTCCTTAACAGTAGGACATAATCTAGCTATAGAAGTTATTCTCCACGATAGCTATAATTCTGAAATATCATAATTTAATATATACCTCGGAAAAAGCAGCTTAAATCCCAAAAACAAAAAATTTTGCTTGTGAAGCAAGAAACAGCCCAGTCCAGACATAATCATAATTATTGTAGGACACTCCAAATAAAAATATAGATTAATCGACCGTCGAAATAATATTCAAAGTTTTCCACCACATCTCATGCTATTTTATTACCTTACCATTCAATAAACATTCTCCATATCTTATTTAATTCGCTGAATATTTATGTCACGAAATATCAACCTGAATTATAAATATAAATATTCATCAATTGAAATCAACCAAGTTTGTCAAACAAATGACACAATGACTGTTAAGAATAATTTATCCAGAAATAAGACAGACAGCACTTAATTAACAAAAACAATAGTAATACAAAAAATAATAGTAATAGAAGTAATCAAGTAAATAAATCACAACAATTTAAGGGATTCAAGTTTTACCTAGAAGATCCAAATTTTTAATGCACTGGAAAACTTGTCAAATTTCTTAACAAATAAAAGCTATCAAAATGAAGAAAAATGCAACAATCACTTCACTGGCACATTTCGTAAGCTAGGCGCTAGCAATGGTGATAGTCCATTGACCAATAATGGTTGTCCTTTGTAAACAACCCGACCTTCAAAATTTACCTTCAAATCAGGTGCAACACCTTCCCAGATTTTCTTCTTTGGGTTTAAGACGGGGTCCGGTCGTCTTTTGTATCCTTCACAGGTTACCGGTTGTCCAGGAATACAACTTTCATCAAACTCAATCAGTTCTACTTTTTCAGGAGTAGAAGCACACAGAACCATTCCCTGCGACTCGATACCGCGCATTTTCACTGGTTTCAAATTACAAACACATATCACAAGTCGATTTTGCATCTGCAATAATGTTTCCAAGCAAAAGTGCAGTCCGATTACACGCTTAGAACAAATATAAGCAAACTTAATAGGCAGTGAGATAAAAAAATTTCAATTTTTGCATACGACAACAGATTACTTAGCGTGGCGCATATTTTGGACTGCAGAATGGAAATTGCTGTCAAGATTTTTATTCCATTCATTATAATGCACGCCAGTCAGACTTTTAATTTTTAACTTTCTTATAAATAAAGAACGTCTGAGTTATACCTGTTCAATAGGGACATGTCGAACAAGACCAGAAACAACGGTACGAGGTTTATCTTCACCAACATCCATTTGTTCAACATACAAACTATCCGCATCTGCATGTTTTTCTACTTTCAAAATTCGACCAACTCGTATATCCAAGCGACCAATATCTACTTCATCAACTATAACCTCTGTATTTTAATGCAAATATAAACATATAAAATTGACTTAACTTAGGAAATGAGAGCATCATAATTAGGCAAGGTTTTCTGTTTAAAGTTGCTTAAATGACAAAATCATTAGCGTCAACGATAGTGGTGGAAGGTGAAAATAAAGTATAACAAGAGTTCGTATGATTTATAAACAATAAATTCTCTCTAAAAAGATTAAAAAACCATACAAACAATATATATGAACAAATTAAAATTTCAAGGTTTATCAAAATACATTCCTACAGCAAACACTTTCAGATAGTTCCATCATCGCTTACATCTTGGTTTCTAATTTTCACCACAATGCAAAAATATATAAAATCTTCCCTCTTAAAATAGAGAAACAACGGACCTTCCTCATTTTTGCTTCCTTCTTTCTTACTTTTCGCACTTTCGTTTCTGTCTTTTACTTCCTTCCGTAAAATCCTCACTTCATTCACATTCTGTTCATTCGACTTTTCCATTTGGACGGATGGAGTTAGATCATTATTAGTTTTCACAAGAAAGCTTTTCTCAAACACCGGAATACCGCTGACCTGCTTTACTGAAAATTATCTATATCTTATAGAACTGAAAATTTAGAAACTGGGAAACAAAATTCTATCCTCTCCTTTGTTTTTTAACAGTTAATTGTTATGAAAACAATGTAGAAGAAAAATACGTAAAACTTTGTTTTTTTTTGCCTTGGATCAGTTATTTGTTTTATATGGAAGCATTTAAATCAAGTTATTTGGATTTTTTCTCTAAGTTCTAGGTTCCTGGATGTCGTTGTAGCATAAACATTTTGGTATAATATAGATTAACAGTTTTTCTCTTATCTTATTTGAGTTTCAAATGAATTGGCACAAGACTGGACAAAGACCTCTTGTATGGGAACTTCATTCATACGTTGACGATAACTTTAAGTAAAAATTTCTCACAAATATTTACAGTAGTATGAAACAAGTAAGAAAAATTTCCCACATTAAGTATCAAAGAATCAGGAAATACGATCTTGTTTTGTTCATTTGTTCATTAATTTTTCAGAAGTCAACTGCTATCTGATAGAAAACTTTTATGTCCATATATTTTTTTAATTCCAATGAAGTATGATGCATTTCTATAATTTTTTAATTAAACTCAACATCTGCAAAGAATTTTCAAAAATCAGACTAACTTCCACCCATTGTTTCCAGTTCAATTAATTTTGCCTTCAGTCGTTCAATTTCTGCCCTCAACTGGAGAGCTTGTTCATTCTCCTCTTGCAGCTTTACTTTTTCGAATTGAGCTCCTGAAATTCCAATAAAATATGAATGCAGTTTTTTCTTTAAACACCAAAAACAGAATAAAAAAAAATGAAAAAGAGTGAAAAAAATTACTTCTTTGTTCAAGCTTCATGCTTGCGACTTTCAATAAGGAGTCAATTTTCTTCTGATTAGTTAATAATGTCGAATAAACAGATGAGGACGCCACATCTGAGAAAAAAAATTAAAATTGGTATAAAACAGTCGTAAAAATTTGTAAAAAAAATAATACTCCATTTTCTAACGAAAATCAGAAATACAAATCCAAACTCAGAAAATACCATGACGGTTGCCAATTTGTTAGTTTTAACTGCCCTCCATAAAATCTTTCTTGTACTTCTTTTAATGCTTCTTTAGTGAACGCATGAAAACAGATCAACTAAGATTTCTCTTAATTCCAACATATTTCAATCTTTTCTCACATCCTATAGCAGTGAAAAGGGGAAAATTTGCAAGCTAAGATACAAAGAAACACTAAAAACAAGCCAAAAGACAATTTGTATAAATATTCCGTCAGACAAACAATGTAACGGCCTGTAGCAACAGTTCAGCGAGTCAACAATTAAAAAATGACTAAAGGTATTAGTCATCAAACTATATTTCACCTAAGCATTGTTTCAAGAAATCGCTAATATACCTACAAAACTACGATCTAAAAAAAAAAGTTGAAAAATTTTGTGGCATTAAATGTAATAATAGCAGCAGAAGACACAACAACAGCAAAATTCTACCAATGCTACCACTATGACGACGATTAACGAACCAACCTTTAATCAATCTTTCATTATTATCTTTCTCTTCGTTTTTCGTTTTTTTCTTCTCATTTATTATTTTCTTTTTTTTCACTTGTTCGTTAATTATTGACTCACTGGCACTACCAAATTTTTTTTTGAAATCATCAATTGCACTTTTTTCCATCTTCACAAACAACGGTTTCGGCTGCAAAAGAAATAAATCATTTTTTCGGCTAAGGACGGTAGATGAAAAGTCAATTTGCCCGTCTAGCTGATTATTGCCACTTAAAAAAAGAAAAAATTTGGACATTCTATTGTCCTTCTTAGTAGCAATTTCTGAGGACAAATTCAAATATCTCAAATTTGGATCAACTTTCAACACAAGGTCTGCGTTACTTCAATAAATACTGACAGCACTTCATGAGTAGACATGTACGCAGAACACTCTAGATGAATAAATGTGCCTCCCCGTTTTCCGAATATTCCGGTAATATAAGTCACCAAACTAAACGTCTGATCCAACCAGTAATTAGGTCCAACAATACAATTTTCGAGAAATTTCGAGCAGAGACAGCCTAGCAAAGTTCAAGTGATCTAACTAGGCTCAAAGAATACAATATGATGAACAATAAGAGAAAAATAAACCCTAACTTTTATTTATTTTCATTACAAATATGGATAAATGTAAATAAATCTACATGAAATCCGATCAGTTTGCATAACTGTGTACAATTTTACGACAGGAGTACAATTTATAGCATTCCTAAGTCCAAATCAAGTGAGTGATGTAATGAATATTTACAGAGAATGAATCAAAATATTACATAAAATAAATTTTTGTCCTCTTTCTATTCCTAACAAGAATCTTCAAGTAAGGAACAACAAAAGTAAAACTAACCTCGCCAATTTTATGACCGGGTTTTAAGAAAGCAATTGGAGTACTTGGCAATGAAGCTAATGCCAGATGACCACAGTGTTCTCGTATCTTAGCACTAATGGACGGCATGTAAGGATAAAGCATAACAGCGATTAAGTAAGCCAAGTTTGCTACTATACCAATTACAGTACCTGCTCGTTTCCTAAAAAGAGTTCTTTGTCAGAATAGGTACATAAATTTCTTATCTGTTTTAGATCAGCTTTCAAACGATTTATTCTGACTTTAAAAACGCCAGTTATTTTATGACCAGTATTAAAAAAGTTTTACATCAATTTGTAAACTGTTTAAGTAAACACTGAGTTTGAAACAAAAATATTTCGCCAAATTTTTTGCACTGTGCAAGGATGGATCGAAATCAGCTCTGTCATGTACAATTATACTATTACCTGTCATTTTCACTTCCTTTTATCAAAACCCATGGTTGTGTTGATTGTATATATAAATTACCATGTCTTGATATGGAAAGAACTTTCACAATACCATCACGAAGTTTTACCGAACTGAGACATAAATCGAAGTCGCTCAAGTCAGATGAAACTTGTGCTAATAATGCTTTGTCCTGTTCTTGGAGGTGCATATCTGGTACCACACCATCGAAGTATTTGGATAAGAAAATTAATGCACGGTTCACAAAATTGCCTAAATTATTCAGAAGCTCCGTATTCACCTGAAATTTATCCAGATTCATAATTTTTCTTTACTTACAGACTCAAACTATTTCGTGAATTTCTCGGCCGCAAATCATTAAATAGTTAATTGAAAAATTAATTATACATCAAATACTAATGTAGTAAACATACTAATGTAATAAATAGTTAGGAAAATAATTGCAAAACTGACACCTTTAAGGAGAAATCATCCCAGGAAAACGATGTATCCTGTGTTTCAGGGCGAATATACAACAAATAAAATCGCCAAATATCGGCATCGATGCCAGTTTCTGCAGCCATATCGCCAAAAACTCCTGTACCACGTGATCTAAATGTTGGCGTTTATCAGTATGTGAAAGAGAATTTACAAAGAGTTGCAAATTTAAGAAATCGTAAAATTTATAAAGTAACCGGTAAATGATGAGCAAGAAGTAAATGCTTCTAAAATCTTAGTGAGAAAGTGGTTTCCTCGAAATGACAAAAAATGATAGAACATTTTCATGAAACTTTCAATTTCCGCTATAAAAATTTTTTCTATACACAAAATAGTTATTTAATTTGCCAATAAACTAGACAGTTATCCAAATACTTTCATCAACATATTATTAACTGGAAAATATCAAATAAGAATGCAAAACCATGCTTGCTAAACTTCATAGATTCATAATTCAGATATTCCGTTGCGCATAGACGATTAACCACAGTGTAATTGTCACCAGTACCAATTTGTGTAGCAGGGAACATAACGGCATGGAAGGCAACGTTATCATGAAAAGGAACAAAAAAATAAGCTTAAGGAAGAAGCAGGAAATTCACGAAATATATACTTATGGAGCAATGAAAACAAGAATAATAGGATGGGATTTCTATATCTCAACTTGAAATAATATCTCATCGCCAGTACTTTCTTCGCCCTTTACAAAACTCAAACCTTTAAAAAATTATACATATTTAAAAACCTACTTTTCCAACAAAATTGTAGAGATCCACAATGCTTGGGTTTTTCCACCACTGCGACCAGTCTTCTCCTAAGTATTCCTTCGTAATTGACAAATAACCAATTGGAGCATCAAACCAAACATAAAATACCTGAAACATTGATTGCACAAATATAATACAAAAAAAATCGGCGTAACTGAAAAAATTACTACTTTGAAAGAGCTAAATTCAACAAACAAAAAAATTTTAATGATATCAGTGTACATTCACGTGCTCTGCTTAGATAATTCCTTCATAGATTTCTTTACCGTCCAATAATAATCATAGATTTCTTTACCTAGCTTCCAAAGCATTCTTGAACCTGATTGGTTATTGCAGAATAAATTTAACTTCTGTAGAAATAAACAATCATTACGCAGTTAAAATCCACTAATCTGATTTTACCAAATAATAATGGCTGCAAACCTTATTTGAAAAACTCTCAAGTGGTACGGATACACCCCACTTCAAATCTCGAGTTATACAGCGCTTTTCCAGACCGCCTTTCAGCCAACTTTTCGCAATTGAAATAGCATTTGGTGACCATTGGTTTTTCCCCAAATTAAGCTGCTCATTTAAATGTTTTTCCACTTTATCCTGAAAAAAAAAATTTTAATTAACCCAACACAAAAGTCATTTAAAACTAGGCTTCCGAAATATAAGTTTTACGATACATTATAGATAATAAATTTTATCTTTAGAAATAGAAGTTATTATATTTGTGATAAAACAAAATTAAAACATACTGCTAATTTATCTAAGTGAAGGAAGATATGATTTGATGGTTTTACAATAGGCGTTGCCTTGCACAAATGACATCGAGGATTAATTAATTCTACGGCATTTATTAATTTCCCACAGGCATCACACTGATCTCCTCGTGCATCATCAAAATGACAGTGCGGACATTCACCACATACAAAACGATCTGCCAAAAACCTGAAAAAAAATCTCTTCTCAAATAAGCAGTTGAAGCAAAATTCTGAAACTGTCCATAGCTTTCAATAAGACAGTGTGACAAAATTTTACAATTACGGAAAACTTCTTCCAAATGAAGAAATTTAATCAGTTTGGCATGCTGTATTGGAAATAAAAGTGCTACAGTCACATGAAGTTTCTTTTTCAGAATACACCATGGATACACTAAGCGTATGAGGTGGATTGTCTTGGACATTTTTACAGCTATAGCTCATAATTTAAGAAAATATTACACCTGCTACAGCTATCACAGTGCAACTGATCAACGGTATCGGTCGAAGTGAAACCATTTTTATGAAGTTTCAAGAAAATTTCTTGCGTAAGTCTGAAAATGAACATAAAAAAGAAAACAATTTAAATAATTTTTAAGGGAAAATGTATCCTTTCGTTTTAAATGGCTGGCTTCATTGTGGAATACTACACCTACTGGAATATTTTAGATTATCAAACGGCCAGTTACCTATCCTGTCAAAAGTGAGTTAAACTTCTAGTGAGATCTGACTGTAATAAAACAAACAGAAGATAGAAAAACGATATAAAAAAAGAAAGAGAAATCAGGGATGTAAAAATTAATAGTAGTGCCATCTGACATTAACTCACCTAATTTAATTACTTATATACTTACTCTGTCTGATGTTGCGTAGTTGTTCGACCGAAATGGTCAAAATCGATGTTGAACCACTTATAAATTTTTGCATGTATCGCATGATACTTATCACATATTTGGCGGGGTGTTAAACCTTCTTGTATTGCCTTCGTTTCTGTAGCTGTGCCATATTCATCCGTACCGCAAATAAATAAACGGCGCCAACCTTTCAGGTAACAGTACCTGTATGGAATCAAATTTTCCTACTGAATTTCTAAAATTCTATAAGCTGTCCAAAATATCTTTTTAGAAAAAACGAAAAACAAGTAAAGACCCAATTTGCATATTCAATTATGACATCTAAACGTAACAAAGATACAATGAAATTTGCTTTCTTTTTCTAATTGTGCAGTGGTAATTGAATGAGGATAGACTAAACAAATTTGCAAAAACTTTTTAATAATAAAAATTTGTGATGAAAACCTTGAAAAAACATCAGCACTCAAAACGCATCCAACGATATTACCCAGATGTGGTACATTATTAACGTAAGGTAAAGCAGATGTTATCAGGATATTCTTTTCTCCTGGTTTCGGCAGTCTGAAAAAAATGATATTTCAACTGGCCATCAATTCGATAAAATGAAAAATTTGCTAAGGAATTTAAATGAACTTGTTTATTTATTATCTTCATGAAAAGAAAATATTTCTACCACCATGCTTTCGACTCTCAAAAAACATCAAAAACAGCACCACATAGGTTTTTGTATTCACATTTGGTAGCGTAAGAAATGCTTACAATTAAATCTGTCTTTAAAATTTTAAACAAATTTTAATAAAAATTTAGGATCCTGTTAGAATCATATAAACAGATGAATTCAAGAAACAGTAAATTAATTTCGAAATAAGAAAAAAAGAAAAATATAAGATGAAACAAACTTTTTGGACTTATCAACGGATTGCACATATTCCGGATTTTTAAACCACGTTTTCTCGAAATCCATTTGAATTAATCAGATGAAATACTTATGCTTCCCACACTTAAAACAATGAAATTTCATCTTGAATAAAATTCGTACAAATCGTTTACATCCTAGTATACAGCTATACGCAACAACAAATCATGCTCAGAAGAATTTCTTGCGCCTATCTCATATACTTTGCAGTCTTAGTGAAGAATTAAGTCTTCCATAAATCTCCAAAAACGCTTGGCAGAATTTCCGAACAACGTGTTTTTTTACTCTTATATGTCGCGTTTTATTACTGATCTTTATTCTAATTGGGAGATAATTACGGGCTGTGACACACAACTTATTATTTATAAATTGCATAAGTTCGTGAATTTTATATTGTTAAAGATTTTCTAAAGTATTAAGGTAAATTTCGAAACGTTACAGTAACAAAACTGCTTCATCCAAATTTCTTGAAACCGTCAAGATTGCAACATTACAATAGAAATGACGCCTGACCTTTGACTTTTGCTCAAGTGACAATGAAAATCTAAAATATCCTAATGACCACCTGAATCATAAATCAACTTATAACACAAGCATAAAAATGTTAACATATGTTCAGAATCAAAAATTATGGACGTACAAACGGAAAATACAAATGACTTAGCTGCGATTATAGAAAGAAAATGCAACAAACATAAGTAAAATGGTATGCTAAAGTAAGTCATTTAGGTATAGAACATCTATTTCGTTACTTGCTTAATGTCAAGCCTGTATCATGTAATTGTATTGACATGAATAACATCTAACTTATATTACATATATATATATATATACCACAATTGTAACTGAAACAGATCGTTTCTACAATTCCAACAATCATTAATATACACTTGTAGATTTTCCATTTTTTTTTTTTATTTCACGTTTCCAATGAGTTATTAACGCTACTTATAAAGTTATTAATGACTGGAAATAAATTCATTTAAGAAGAAACTTTGTCCTTTTTCTTTCTTTCAAATTATTCCGGCCTTTAATTTATAGTAAATTATAACAAATAATTTGAAGAAAATGTGAGATCAATAATATTTCGAAGATAAAAACTTCAAAATTGAAAAAATATTAAGTAAAATTGAGTGAAGTGAAAATATGGAAATATTATTCAAGCAAAGAAAATACTTCATTGTTTGTTTACTTTTTTTCTTTCAAGTTGGAAATTTAGGTGAGTTTAAAATCTGAACAAAACAATATGCAATCTTGTGCAGAATAATTAATAATCAAAAAATAATTAGCTGATGAAGAGAAGATTTCAATTAAAAAATTTTTATCAGTCCTTCTAGCTGGGCATAGCGCCAATTTGCGATCGATTACTGGAAGGTATGGTGTCAACTTGCGATTTGTGTGGCTCATTATGAAAATTAAAATCCACCGAGCGAAATTTGATGGATGATTTGAGCGGGTGTTTTCAATGTAAACCGGATTTAGGGTATTGCTGCTGTAAAACTGGATCTAGAATGTTGTTGAATGTGACCGGTTTTAGAATGTTGTTGGATGTAAACCGGATTTGGAGTGTTATTGGAATGTTGTTGAATGCAACCGGATTCAGAGTGTATTGGATGTAAACCACATTTGGAATATTGTTAGATGTAAACCGGATTTAGAATTTTGTTGAATGTAACCGGATCTACGTGAACTCTTTGGGTATAGTATAATAGCTTCCAAATTCTAACCATTTTATGTATTCTAATTTATGATTACGAATAATTCCGAAATTGCAAGTCCATATTTGATTAAATCTTTTTCATGCAAATATAATAAATACTAAATATTACAAAAATACGAAAAATTCCAAATTTTGAACGTTTAGCTTTTTAATAAGAGAAATATTAAATGTTGAATTTAACACTGAAAGTAACAATTTTTAATTTTATTATTCTTTTTTCTAATAAAACTAATAATTATAATACAATTTAGTTTAACTTAATTTTAGGATGTGAATAAACGGAAATGTATTATGTATGATAATATCTCATATAATTACAATTTTTCATATATAATAATGCTTGGAAAAAAATTACAAAACTATAGGCAAGCACTTTTATTCCTTATTGTAATTGAAATTTTATATTTAAAAATTAATTGAAAAAAAAACTGTTGATTTTTATCTTTTTTATATTTTCCCTAAATTCTAAATGTGTTAATTATATATCAAATATATATATATGCTACTGAATGCATTATATAAAATGCTTATTCATTTTTAAAAAAAAATGTAAATTTACCTTCTAGTTTATTATTAATATCTCTATTAGATTTACTTTTAGTTTATTATTGATACCTCTTTTATGCTATTAGTATTGTATATACTTCAATCAATTTGACCAATTGTTTAAATTCTTTTCATTCTTCAAATTTCCAACACGAATGTTTGCTTAAACAAGAATTGCACATAACACATTGAATATAAAAAGAGAAAAGTAAACTTTGATGTATTCATAAGCTTTTGTTTACTTGCAGTTAGTTTACTTGAAATATTGTGCGCATTCACAAAGAAATTTTTGGATAATAATTCTTCAAATACACTAATTTTTGCTATGTCAAAAGAAAAAGAAACAGAAAAAGATGGCTTTCATTAAGTTTTATAAAATAGTTTCACCTAAACTAATTTTTTTTTTTATCAAATGCAAATAAATTATCACAAATATATAATTAGCATTAAATGTACAGATTAATACAAAATTTACAATTTATAATAAAATGTAAAAATTTGTCACAAAATATATAAATTATCATAATGATTTTTTCTTTGAAAATTATTTTTCCGTTACAAATGTTAATGCAAATTTTTGCGCAATGATAATTTTGTTTTGATGAAAAGATTGAATAAAATAGCAAAAGTGAATGATTTGAAACCATTGTTTTACTTTTCACAAAGGCTACATCTCGAAATTGAATAATGAAGTTAATTAATTTTTGTTACTGTAATAATTATGATATTTCCTTTTCCTAAAGCAAAACTATTATTCAAATTTAAATTTGAGTTTTCATCAAAATTTGTATATTTGAAGTAACAAAAATTTCTTCAAATTGAAAACAATGAATCTGTATTGTTTATATACAGAGAAAAAAACTTTTTCTAAGATAAGCTATCTTAGAAACATATTTATTTAGGAAAATATATTTTATTTATTTTATACGTATATTTAAAGTTTTCATTTATTTTTTTTTTTTTTTTCTTGAACCAAAATCAGTCACTCGTTTAGATATACTGTTTTATTTTTTATCAGCAATCTTTAAATGTTGCTTCTTAGATATATAATTAAATTTAGCTTTTAAATTAACTTTACTTGAACAGGAAAAAAAAATTTTTTAAACCAAATTTATTTATAAATTGATGAATAAAATAAAAAATTTTAACAAACCACCTTGTTTTAATTTCGATATACTTCTATCTTCCTTTTTTTTACCTTATCAATAATCATCGTTATTTTTGCCATAATTTTTATTATTAAAAGAAATACCTCGTCTCTTACCTCAACAATTTTTTTTTTTTTTTTTAAATTTTACAACATTAAGTTCAGAAGTAATATACTACCAAATTATTAAGCAGTTATTTCTCATTTTTCATATTCAGTACTTTTCGTTGTTTTATCATAAAATTTCTTCTATTTAAAAAAATCAAAATTTGTTAAATATGAAATTTTCAAAATTTTTCTTAATTAAAAAGAATGAAATAGAAGAAAATTTTTATTTTGAATAAAAATGAAAATTCAATTGAAGAAGGAAAGGGTCAAGTCGAAAGAAAAGTGAACTGGATACGAAATTAAGTCCTAAACAACCTAATATTGCTAAATGTCAAGCTAATGCTCGTACAGAAGTAATAATTATTTCTCAGTACTTCTGCCGGAGTACCTTTGTTACTTATATCTTTTCAAAATATACTGTAAAAAGTAATTAATATTTGAAACGATAATTAATATATGAAAGTAATATTTTCAATTGATTTATATCTGCAATGTTATTGCTGTCGAAATGTTACTCTAAATTAATCAGTCAATTTGTAATTAATGAATTTAAAAAATTGAAGAAATCTACTTTAATTAAAATAACTATTAGCTAACTAAATGAAATCAAAAATTAAAATATATTAACCAATTTTTTCCAATTATTCTTGAATTTATAATCAAATTTGAGGAAATTTTTTTTTTTTATTTTAAATTTAGGTAGAACGATGGGTTCGGCGAGCTTTAGACAAAGGAGTTGGAGGATTACGTGAGGAATTTTTAAGTTTGAAACGCTACATACCAGAAGGTATGACTACTAATGCATTTCAAGGCACTTTTGAAGCCGGAAAATCTCGATACAAGGATGTCCCATGTCAAGATAAATTTCGTGTTGTTCTTCGATGGCCTGGTGTTACAGATGATTACATTCATGCAAATTATGTTGCAACACCAATTAATGAAAAGCGTTTCATTTGCACTCAAGTAAAAAACAAAAATCATTCCTAAGCAAATAATAACAGTTAATAATTTAAAAAAAAAAAAAAAAAAAAACAATTTCGAAAATTTTTATAAATTTTTTTCAAATATTAAATTTGCTAAAATGTTGTTTCTACTAATTTTAAATTAATTTAACAAATCAAATCAAATTACTCATTTATTATTATATTAGAATTATTAATAAAATAAACATATAATATTTCAAGGCCTTATATATATATTTATATATTGCTTATTAATTATATTTTTTCTTTTTTTTTAAAAAAAAAAAAGTTACATTTAGGGACCAATGCCAAATAGTGTGATTGATTTTTGGCATATGGTTGTGCAAGAGGAAAGTGATAGTATTGTTATGTTAACAAATACCATTGAAAAAGGCTTAAATAAATGTGAACAATATTGGCCTAATGATGCTGGCCAGAAAGCATCATTCGGTGATATTACAGTTTCAAATATGGCGGTATCAAATTATAAATTATTGTAATGCAATAGTATTTATGAAAGAAATTAAATCAAACATTTTAGTTAACGTTTAATTATAATATAAATTACTAAGAAAATTTATAAAATATTATATTATTATAAAATAGTAATATCATCATTGAAATTGTTTATTTAATTATTTCAATTACATTAATAGAAATAATTGATTATGTAGAAAATTTGCATATTGAAAAAAGTGATACATAATATTATGATGTATTTTTTTATTATTAATACTATTACTGCCTTTTTTTTTTAATTCTAATATTTTCAAAAAACACATTTTTCTTTTCATTAATCATAATTTTAACATTAAATTTTTTTTTAAAATATTTTTAATGTTTTATTAAATTTTTTAATAACCGACTTTAAATTTAGAAATAAATTTAATTTTGCTTTTATTTCCATTTATTTCTTTTTTCTTTTCCTCATCTAAGATTTTATTTCGGAATATTAAATATTATTGATGAATTAATTTAAAATATAATTAATTCAGGTACGAGCATTAGCACCAGATGAAACAAACGTACGAGTTTGTCATTTGAAAGTTCAATGGAAGGAAAGTGGTCGAGAAAAGAATCGAGAAATACGTCATTATCAGTGGATTAATTGGCCAGATCGTGGTGTACCACCGTGTCGACTTACTTCTATGGTATTTAAATTACTAATTAATTTTTTTTTATAATTTGCATAATTTTATCAAAAATGGTTGTACTAGGTTCTGTTGTCAAATATTCGTGGTACCAAGAAACCAATTGTGGTGCACTGCTCAGCTGGTATCGGTAGGACCGGTGCAATTGTAGCAATTGAATATATTCTGGAGAAACTTCAACAAGGTATACCATGCGAATCAATGGATAAAATTCTCAAAGAGCTACGAAATCAGCGACCATTTACTATACAAAATGATTTGGTACATATTATTAAATAGTTGTAATTATTTAAATTATAGAAAAAATAAAAATTTTTTGTAAAAGTAAATTTATAATTAGAAATTAGTTATTATTGTGTTTTTTCATTCTCTTTCAGTTTTTTTTTTTCATTGTAATATTGAATTAATTATTTTATTATCAAATTGCAATTATGATTGCGTTGTTTTGGTAGTTAGTAATAGTTGAGATTTTTATACGAAATTTTCAGCAATATCTCTACGTTCATCGAGTGATGTTATTTTATTTCATTGATAAATATAAAATTTTTGCTGATAATGACGAAGTGATGGCAAAATATAAGCAATTTGTAGCTGATTATGATAAAATTACAAAATAAAAAAGAGACAAAAGAAATTATATATTTCTATTAAATTGTCCATTATATCAGATTGTATTCATTGTATATAAATGATCAAATTGAGTTTGAATAATAAACGATTTTCAAATCAAATTTCATAAGTATATGTTGTCGTCATTTTAAATGCTTTCAACACGTTAACATTGAATTAATAACTTTAGTTTAAAATTTTAAACACATATTGTTCTGTCTTTAAATTTCTAATTTTCGAAGGAGATTTATTAAAACTTAATATAATATGAACGTAAAATGAATTCCAAAAAAAAAAAAAAAAAAATTAATAATTGTATAGAAATTAATTCTATAGAAAGATTCAGTTGATTGATCCGTATTGAAACCAGAAATAATCATAAATTAAATTATTTATTAATTTATAAATGAGTAACTTGAAAATAATTCAAATACTTGAATAAGCAAATATTATGCTTTTTTACTTTTTTTGCAAAAAAAATATTTGTGTTATTATCAATTAAATAGTCAGTAATAAGTAATTACAAAAAATAATAATTGATTACATAAAAATAATAACAATAGTAGAAATTTCGTAAATCAGTTATCGATTACTTTATTAAGTGATCGATATTTATCAAGTAAGCAAGGAAAGAAAGAAAACGTTGTAAAATAATAAATATTATTGATAATGTATAATAAATATGAAATATAATTACTATACAAAAGTATAAGCAATTATGATTATTGCAAACATTTAAAAATATTCATTAATATAGGAATTTTATTTATGATAAACTAATTAATAATGCAAATTTTAATTAACTTAAATTGATAATAAATAAAACTATATTTAAATTATAAGATTGATATATGCCACAATCGTATCGATTAAAATTTTATCTTTATCACTGATAATCTACAATATTGACAATCATAATTTGACAAAAATTATATATTAAAGGAATGATTTAATTGAAGATTTAGGCAATTTTAAATGTTTCAATGAGTTTGAATGACTCATTTTGAACAATTTCGAGAGTATTCGAAAATTGATGAGTCACACGCATTATTTTTGAGCCAAAAAAAAAAAAAAAAGACGAATCATCTTATCGTAATATGTAATATAAGTAAAAGTAAGAATTGTCAAAGTACATTGTGTCATCTTCTAGCAAAACGAAACTAAAAATCACGCAATTGCTGCAATTGAAAAATTTAACTCTTAAATGGGCTTAATTGAATTGAAATCATCACTTCATGCTCTATTGCTTCAATTTTTTTTTAAAAAAAAAAAGCACAATTTTCAAATTATAAAATGAGCTTAATTTAAAAAAAGTTAGGAACTAAACTATTTAAATTGAGAAAATGAAAATTTGTTAAATATTACGCAAAATTTGCTCAAATTTGCATGCATTTAAGAAAATATTAGAAAAAGTTTTGCATAAATTTTTAATAAAATTAATTTTAATTTGAATTTTTTCATTAAAATTTATTAGAAATTCGTAAAAAAAAAAATGAAAGAAAACAATGGAAATTTTATTTAAAACTTGCATATAATAATAGGTGGAAAGAAATTACCCAATAAACAACAAAAAAACAATATGAGAGAAAACAAATTATCTAATAAATTGCAATTGTAATGGGTAAGTGAAAAGGTAACATTAAAGTAATCGGTATGGGATATACCGGGAATTTAACCTAGAAAAAAATGTATAATTTAGAAGATAATAGTATGCACAAATATTGAGTGATTTGTGATAAGTTTTGATAAGTAATACTTCAAAGTCGTCTTTTGTTGTTAGCTTTTTCTTAATATGTTAATATGCATATTTAAATACGAAGAAAATTTTTAGTTAAATTTGTTAAATTAGTGAATAATTAATTTTTATTTTAATTAGAAAAGAAATTCTATTATAAATGCCATTGTATATTTGCATATTTAAAATTTTTATGTAAATAATAAATTTATCAAATAGAGAAAAAGAAATTCTATGCCATATAATTGATATGATAAACAATAAGAAAATACTTTGTTTTTTGTTTTTTGTTTCATAATTAATTACATTGAAATGTTTTTTTTTTTTTATATATATAAAAAAAATTGAATTTTAATTTTTGAATAAAATAAATAGTATATGCTACTCTAATTCCATAAGAATTTCAAAAATAAAAACTTATTTTGTTTAAAAATTTTACTTTATCAAATGTAAAAAAGATGGTTTAAAAAAAAGTTTCATCAAAATTATTTACAATAAAAATGAAAATCTTTTTTTTTTTTTTTTGCTGGATCATAATTTTATTTAATTTGAAATATGTGCAAGTTTTATTAGATATTACAATAAATGATATATGCAATTATTGTTTTTCATTTCATTTTTCGTTTACTGAAATAAATTATGGAAAAAAAAAAGTATAAATTTACTGTTTCATTGCTTAATTTATAAACAAAAAACTTACCAATTATTACTTAGCTTAATTTTATATAAAATATTTAAATTTAAATTACAAAGATTTATTATTTCTTGTTCATTTTCTCTCAGTGTGTAACTAACGGATGTTTGTGAAAAAAAAAAAAAATAAGAATAAATAAATAATTTCTCAATTAAAATTAATGTATGTTTGTATGTGTATGTGTATGTGTATGTGTGTGTGTATGTGTGTATGTGTGTATGTGTGGAAATTCTTTTACACATTGAAAGAATTGAATTTATTGTCAAATATAAACTAACTAGTTAGACTGTAATTTTCCGCTTCTGATTTATTCCTTTCCTTCCTTCCTTTTTTTTTAAAGTAAGGAAGGAAGGAAGGAAAAAAAGATAATAGTGGATTTGTTAAGTGTTTGCATTTGAAATAAATCATTAAGTAGTTTTGTCGTTTATTTGAAAGCTAGTTCAGTTTAACAAATGGAAAAAGAAAAATATTGCTGAAATATGAAAAAAAAATTATTATGTTATGGCATTATATCTAAACAAGAAAGTGAAAAAAAAAAAAAAAAAAAACAATAAATAAATATCGAATAAAAGTAGAAAAGTAAATATGAAAATTGAAATTGAAATTGAAATGGAAATGATAAAAGTAAGAGAAGAGAAATAGGATTGAATGAAATCTCAAACAATTTCTTTTACTTGCATAATTTATGAAGTAATTAAATTTGAAAATTATTAGCATATATTTTTTATTTTTTTCCACCATTATTTTTTATTTTTATGAGTGAACCAATAAATGAATAAATAAACAAACAAATAAATATAAGTGAAATATTTAAAATATATCTATTTTAAAATACAATAATAGTTAAGATTTTAAAATGCAATAATTAATATATTGATTTTATAGTACATAATAATTAACAACAATTTTATGATTAATAATAATTAAGCGATAATTAAATAAACGATGATTTAAGGTAAATAATAATTAATTTTATTAATATATTATTAATAAAATTATACAAAAATGTTTCTAATATTTTTGTAATAAATAATACAAATAACCATGGTTGCATTGAAATTTTACAATAAAATTTTACCATCATATATATTTATAATAGTAAAAAATTTGTTTAAACATTTCTATGAAAATAAAATTCATATAAGCCAAAAAAAGTTTCTCTCTTTTTTTTTTTTTTGAAAATTTAAATGGAATTTTTCATTTCAAAAGATGAATCAGTAAATGATTGTAAGTGGTAAAGTAAAAAGTACTTACTTTTTGCATACATATATCTAATATATATATATATTTGTTAAATACATATACACTTATTGTACGTTACATTTTTTAATTAAAAAAAATGAAATAAAATCGACAAAGTTTTTTTTCTCTCTCTTTTTTTTTTTCCTTAAACAATAAAAATATTATTTACATTTATAGCTAGATATGTTATAAGCACTAAAAATAGTATCAATTTGCGCTTATTGTAACATAAGCGATAAGTTAAAATGTACTACTAACAAAACTAAAATTCTTTATAAAACTTGAAGTTCCAGTTTTTGTTATTTTGCATTTTTGTCAATGATAATATTAGCATTAGCCACCATTAAGTTTGTCCTGTTTGCGCTTACCGATCAGCGCTTTCATTCTCACTTCCTTTCTTCTTTTGAAATCTTTTTCCTTTTCCTTTTTTTTATTTATTTATTTATTTTTTTTTATTTATGTTTACTGATGCATTTATAAATGTATGTATTGGGTGTGTACTCAAACTGTTCATTGAATTTACACAATTGAAATTTAGTATAAATAGATATGAAGGAAATCATTTGCTGCTTATTCATATTTAAGTAAAATTAGCCTGTATTATAATAAATAATAATTTTTACCATTGGTTAAATTAAAAATTTATCATTGCTTTGTCGTTTGTTTGTTTTTTTTTTTTATTATTTTAATTTATTGTTTACAGGATTTAAAGAAAAAATTATGCAATTTACAATCATTTTACTTATAACTTTCATCACCGCTTCAAGTAGTAAAATTGTGAGTTTTCTGTCCTTTTTTCAAAAGAGATTCTTGTTTTTCTTTTCTTTTTTTTTCATTTTAAAATAAAATTTTAAACGAAAAAATTTTATTAAATAGAAAAAGTTAAATATTTCAAAGAATAATTAATCAAATGAATCAAAATTGTACCGAAAGTTTTCTTTCAAATTTAATTTTCTTTCATTCCCATTCATCGGAAATTGTATAAATACATAGTAAAAGAATTAAATCATTGCTTAATATTGCAGTAGATGGTTGGAAAGATTTTAAAAAATTTAATTTTCAAATCGATATATTAATTTAAATTTTAGTTAATTATATTGTTGTTAATAAAATAAATTGCTCAAAATTCTGGAATTAACTTTAATTACTTTACAAATTTATAAATTATCGCATTTTAGTAAGTTTATAATAAGTTGTTTTGCTAAATCTTCATTATCAATTTTTATCATTTTTTTGAATTATTATTCTTTGTTTCATCAAATTTATAATCTCTAATATCAAATGTTATTGTTATGATTTTAATCCATAATTATAATAGATAATGAATTGTAAACAATAATCTAATCATCAAAAAAAATAATTATTAAAAAATTTTTCAAATTTTTGTTATCAAAAACTTTTATTATCATTTGAAACAGAGTTAAAAAAAAAAATTATATAGTAGTTGTTTTGTTTATTTTCTATTTTGTTATTTTTACAAATTCTTATATATGAAATAGAAAAAAAAAATCTTCTAAGTTTCTTAATTTTATAATCTCTAAAAAAAAAAAAAATTTTGCAGCAGTTGGAAGAAAAATCTGAAATGTCGCACAAACTTGTCAAGCGACATTGCTCGTGTCAACCATCAGCTTGCACATGTGCATCAATTTACCTAACGTTGCAAATTTCGTGCTCTTGCCCGCAAACTTGCAAATGCCCAACATATCCTCCTGTTACCTATACTGTACCAACGACAACATTACCTCCTGTTACGTATACATTACCTCCGGTTACGTATACGTTACCTCCGGTTACGTATACATTACCTCCGATCACTCCAGTACCTGTGGTATCAACTAAATCTTCCTACTGTTGCATTTTATTCATTTGCGCTAGTTGTAACTATGGAAGAACATATAGCGAAGTAAGTTTTAAATATTTCATTTATAATAATAAATTTACTTTGGAATAATAAAAGTATAATTAGTTTACTCGTTACTAAAGTAATTAAGCTAATAATAATAAGCAGTGATAATAAATAAATAATTCTTTCTTTTATTTTTATTTTCCTTTTTTTTTTTTACAAATGTAAATAAAATAAATGAATAAATTTCAGCCATCATCACAGTACAGTCCTGCTTCCAGTCAGTATTATTTACCACCCTCTTCTAACTATCATTACCCACCACAACCCTACCCCGTCCCCGTCGATCGAACTCCATATTCTTACCCAACTACAACATCAACGTGTTCCATTGGTTTTACCATATGTTTGGGTGGAAACTTTTGTTGTCGAAATTAATTAATTACCAAAATTCAAAATGCATAATCGAATAATCGATATAATGGTGCTTAAATATCAAAAATTCTTTCAATTTTCTTTTCAAAACATTTATATTTTATAACATTACCACCCTAACTCTGCCATTTTATATTTTTTAATATTTATCTATTCTTTTCCTTAAATTAAAAAAAAGTTAGTCTTTTAATAATTTTTAGTAACTCTTTCCCTCATTTTTTTCTTTTCTTTGCTTGTCACATCGAATACGAAGAAATAATGAAATTATTTTCGTTTCTTTTCTTTGCCTCAGATAAATAACATAAAATCAATATATTTCAAATATTTACTTCAAATTTTGCACTTTTAAGATAAAACTTGAATAGTTTTTTTTTTTGGAATAAAACATCTTCTAGTCCTTTTTTGAATTTTTAAATCTGACTAGAAAAATTTCTGAAATATAGTATCTGATATCGAATTTTTAATTTCGGAATTTTAGTCATTACTATTAGTTTATAAATTAAAATCGTAGTATACATCATTCTCATGAATGATGCTACCAAAGGAAGGTTATGAACAATTTATTTGAAATAAATAAATTAAATTTATTAAAAATATATATTTAATACAATTATTAATGTTGCAAAAAAAAAAAAAGAAGAGAAAGATTAATTTATGTTATTTTGATAGTTGTGGTAAAGAATATAAAAAAAAGTTGTTGAACAAAAGAAAAGAAAAAAATTGACGAATAAATGGATGAAAAAAAAAATTAAATTTTCAAACATAAATGATTAAAATATAATGATGAATGTATAAATACTTATAAAAATAAATAAACGAGGAGAATTAAAATGATATCAATTATCTGAGTGAATTTAATTAAATTTGAAAATAATTTCATTCTTTTTTTTGTCTGTTTTTTACAATCAAAAATTGTATTGCATAGTTTTCCTGTTTAAAAAATTGAATATCTTTTCTTTGTAAATGTATGTGTATGTATAGGAAAGATAAAATAAAATGCAAATTACACCTTTATTTGCTTCAAAATTATAATTTTACAAAAAAAAAAAAAATGTGCGAAAATAAATTTAAATTTAAAATTTTCATTTCCGATAATTAAAATTAAGTGAGAAAAGAAAATCACATATTCAGCAAATCATTTCCTTTTGTTATTTGCTCTGTTATTCTATCATTTATTTGATACTGCCATTCTAGCCCAATAACAAATATAATTGGCCTATTTAGCCTAGTTTACCTTTCATTTTATGCTAATTTCATATGCCATTGTAAGCTATTTGTATTACAATAAACAACCATTACGATTATTTCACAAATTAACATCTGATATTGTCATATTATGCTAACATTCATTTGTCAACATTTTATTTTTCTTTTTAATTTCTCATTATTGTATTCATTATAATTAATTAATGAGTAAAATGTATGTATTTAAATTAACAAATAAACACAATTTTATGCATTTTAAAAGAAAATACATATAAATTTTGATATTAAGTGAGAAAAGAAAATTGAAGAAATGAAATAAATTATAGCAAATTGTTTTTTTTTTTTTTTTTGCTTTTGATTTTATTTATATTAGATATAATAATTATTACAATTATTTTATAATTGATTTTATTCAAATAAAATCATATGCTAATGGTAATAATTTCTTTTTTTTTATATCTTAAGAAATTATTAATTGTTTATATAAAATAAAAGATATTTAAGCCAACAATAAAACTTATCTGTTTTTTTTTTTCTTTTTGAAAAAATAGAAAAAAAAGTAGACAGATCATCAAATAAACAAATAAACATACAAGACAAATCTGCAAGTAAACAAATAAACATACAATTAGAATTGAATTTAACGAAATTCTTCGAACAATGCTAAAATGACTAATATATAATATTTATAAGAATTGACTTTAATCCTTTTCCTAATTGCAAGTGAATTATTTGAAATAAACTAATTTCAAAACTTTTTCAGCATCGTATATTTTATGCAAATAAGAAAATAATGGAATCTCTAATTACTAACCGCTAATTAAATGCTATCTAAATTTTTTTAATTAGCAAAATGTTATTTAATAAGCAATGGAAGGATGAAAAAGATTAAAAATCAATTATTATGTTATTTTTTTATATTTGAATTCTCATTCATAAATGGTAAAAAAAGTAAAATTGTGATTTTAACATTGAATAAATGGAAAATAGATAAAATTTTATTATATAATTATAACATGAAATTATGAATGGTAAAAATTCAAACTTGCGATTTCCAAATAAAAATTTTGGAATGAAATAATTCTTACACAATTTAAAAAAATGCTTTATGATCTTTACAACAATTTTCATGTCATCAATTTTTGTATTTCGAAATGAAAAAAAAAGATGAAAAATTAAAGCTTTCTTTCCTATTATTAGAATTATTATTTCTTATTTCTAAGATATTCAATCTTGTAATTTCTAGAATAAATAATAACTTACAATATTTTAAATCTAATATTTAAATTTTGAAATTTAATTATCATTAATTTCACCTTAACTCAATGTTGCCTACATTTTTTAAAAAAGTGTCTTTTTAAACTTTATAAAAAGTTTAAAAAATTAAATTACAATATTTTATTTTGAATATATTTCTCTGATTGTTGCATTAGAATTTGGGAAACACTGAAAGCTCAAATATGGCGGTGAATAGCAAACAATTAAAGTTAAGAAAAAAAGAAATTATCCAATTTGGTTGTGCGAGAAAAAAAAAAAAAAAAATGAGAAAATGAATTGAATATAAATTCCTTTTTAATTGAATATTCTATTAGGCTAATAAATGTTACTATTGGCTTTTCCAATTTTACAAAATCAAATATAAAATTAGAAAGGAATTGAATTTTAAATATTTACTTCTATCTCCCATACTACTTTTTCTGCCATTGCGCTTACTACGATCGCTAATTTAAGTAAAATATCACTGATACGATGAATGTTTAATTTTATTGGGACAGAGTAAAAGTTTAATTAATTTAATTTTTTTTCTAATAGAATTATCTCTGAATTTTTCAACTTTAAAGACTAATCTTTTCATTCATTTAAAATTTATACATTTTATTGATGCTTGTTTCTATCAATTCTTTGATGAAACTAAAATAAAGAAATGCTAGCATTGATTTTGAGTGCTTTACTAAACAGCAAAAACTAAATTTAAATCTAAATTTCATATATACTATCAATCATTTACCATTACTCACAATAAGGAATATTTAGTGACTCAATGAATTGTTTGAAAAAAAAAAATGTCTACTAAACTTCCAGAATAGTTGAATAATTTTAAAAAATGAAACTTTTTTATGATAATAAATTAATTAGATAAAATGATAACAAATCGTTTGTTATGTCTAAATATTCAGCTGGTATAATTTTTGAATTTTTAAATTTGTTATTCTCTTCCAAATAAAATGACTACGTGAACTTACTGCTGCTGTTCTCTTCTAAATGACGTGATTACGTGTATGTCATGTTAATGTAAATGTCATTAAATTTCTTGCAAATATTTCAGAAGCTGAGATTAGTGAAAATTTAACTGAGATTTTAGAATTAACATAATATCTAAGAAAACTAAATAGTTGTTTTGTGATAGAAATATTGAAGAATAGGTAACTAAAAGAGTAAAATGGATGGATTAGTACTTTTGTCAACAATGAATTTTTGTCAACAGTAAACATAGCATTCGCATTTTTCTTCCATTCAAATATTTTTATGCCGCAAATATTTCTTGAAATTAAATGTTTTCTTTTTTTTTTTTTTTTCTAAATTCCATCATTTTGATTGCTAGTATAACAGACTGTAATAAGTTAATGAGTTCCAATGAATTAATTGATTATCATTATTTGCCATATATAAAATATCATATTTATGGAGTGTGAAAGAGATCTGAAATATTTTAAGATCTAAAAATGCGCACTTTGAGTTAAACCATCAATACTATTAATACTTAAGGAATGAAAAAAATAGCTTCATTACTGAAATTTTTTATTAAATTAATTAAAATTATTTCATTAAAATCGTTGAAATCTAGATAACAAACAAAATTGTTGTCAAATTTCTTCACTTATCAAAGATAATCATCATAATTGATAGCGATAATAAATATAAGCAAGAAAGAGCTAGCAATCGAGCACGAAGAATGGCGCAAATTGTCGGGAAGCGAACATAGAAAATGAAACAAATCATCAGGACAGGGAGTAGAGTGAAGTAAATTATCATGACAGGGAGTAGAGTAGAGCAAATTATCAGAAACGATTTGAGTAGGACAGTAATTTGTTTTATTGATCAATGGAATACTTAAGTGCATGTACATAGTAATAACAGTTAAACTTGATTTCTTGTTTACGAATGTAATTTGAAGTAGTGGAAACAGTATTTACTGATTCTGAAGAAATGTACACTAAATTACATCAATATTCATTAACGGAATTCCGGAATTTTTAATAATAGACAAAAATATTCATTCTTTGACAATTATCATCTCGAAAGTGAAATAAATGTTATAGTAGTTACATATAAGTAATGAATAATTTTGCTTCTTCTGAAATTGCTATTTTAATAAAAAGAAATTTTTTGAACGAAATGTGAGAATAATTGGCTGATTTGAACAGTGGAGACAATAAACATCAAAGATAACGAAACTACGAAAATAAAATTTTGGAACTACAAAATTTGATGTGTAAGTTAAGTTAAGCTGGCTGATGTCTTGTTTCAATTTTAATTTGGTATAAACAATTAATGGACATTAGAGAGAATAAGAAAGCAAAAATTTTTTATCATTCATCGGTGATTCTATTAAATGATAAATGAAGTATATTAATTAGTTTTACTACAGTAATGAAACAAATGAATGTTTTCTTATCGTCTTTGCTTATAATTTTGAATAAGCAATCATATCGATTTGGAAGCACCTTTAATAAAATTTAATTTCTCAAATATAATAAGTTAATAATTTATTAATAAAAATTAGAAATTAAAATTCACTTATTTTTTCCTACCATATTGTCGTTGAAAATGAGCAGTAAATAATTCTATAAGTATTTTACAATAAGTTACAAAATTTGAAATTTATGATGTCGTACTAATTAGTGCAAATCATTGCTTAAAAAACTAAAGTAGATGTTAAAAAATGAATTGATAGATAGAATTAATAGAATAGGTTTAACAATTTCTTAATTTATTTAAAAATTTAGTGAACTAGCACAATAAAATTTAGCGCTGTACTATTCATTACAATTTGAAGTAATCAATTTGCGCTTCTACTAATTAAGTGAATCAAGCAATATTAACCTCGCTAGTTTAGTTTCTATTCAAATATTTCTTTTATAATAGATTAAAAATAAAAGTGAAATTTAATTTCCCAAATTGTAATTTTTGATCTAATAAACGAATAAAATCATTTCCAATAAGAGAATGATTTTTGCTTTTTAATAAAAAATTCATAATGCATCCAAAGATAAATCAGTTAATTTAACCTTCCATATTACAGTATTTCTGAATTAAACTAACTTAACCTTCTGCAATGGAATATTCTAAAGATAAAATAATAAATTTTACCTTCTAGAAGAGTTGTTTTTGTTACATAAAATTAAAAATAAAAGTTAAGCAATAATTGTTAATTAGAAAAATATATTATTAGCTTTCATTAATTAATTTAATAAGTGCAATGATATCTTCTGATACGGTACAATGCTTCGATTACTTTTCATTCATTTCGCTATTCAATGATAAGTTTTTATATGTTATTTTTTTCGATTTTTTCTTTCTTCATCAAAAAAAAGGAAGAAGAAAAAACAAAAGAAATTAGATTACACATTTTTCAGGGCAAAATTTATTTTAAACTTCAGGCATTGTATGAATGATTATTTTATTCTCAAAACGATTTTAAATTAATGAACAATTTGACAGTAAAATACAATTTAACAAAATATCTTCTAAAAAATTTTTTAAAATAATTCCATGATAAATTTATGCTCAAATAATTTTTAACATTTTTGTTGTATATTTGCTTGTTTGTTTGTTTGTTTTTTACTGCACTCTAATTTTTCGTAATTCTTTCTCATTTTTTACATTTTATTTAAGGAACGATTAGTTTAGTTACACTTGAATTAAAATTCATCAATGATTTAATGATTTTTGCAAATAAATTTAATTCTTATTCGGAGAAGTTAAGAATATGTTGTTTTACCTAAATTAATAGCCAAATATGAATTTTTTGACTCAAATAATATTTCAGATTTAGTGAATTTTCAGAATTTAAATTCGTGAAGTGTTTAATAAAGTTAAACAATAGTTTAATCTTGTCAAACATCATATCACTCATACATTAGCATTGCAACAATTCAAAAACTTCGATAGTTTCATTTTTCACAGCGTTCTTTTCATCCACCACCACATTTACAGCATCCACAACAACAACCCCCGCATTCCTTTTTGTCTTCTCCAAACGTCGGATGTGGCAATAACCATGAATAATCTGGCAAAAATGGGAATGGGAAGAGGGATGACGATTGCGCACCTGGACAACAGCATTGGCCAGCAACCTGTGGTAGGCTTTGCTCGAATGCTATTAGCAATATCTGAAATGCACATAAAACTGATTAAAAAACGAAATTCATTTGAACATAATTTTTGAAATTGTTGAAAACTTTAAAGAATGGACAAAATGATTGCAATCTGATCATCTAATAATAGAAATTTTTCATTAAAAACTAAATCTATTGAATGATCTTTAAAATTATCCCTTCAAAAAAAGGAAAAAAATTCAGATAGGAACTGAACTATGGTATATTTAAAAACAATAAGCGTAATATCTTTTACAGCATTTTACACAAAAGCAAAATACATGCAACAGCAGAACAGTGTTTAAATATTTAAAAAAAAAAAAAAAAAACATCACTAAAGCCTATCAATTAAATAATAATTTCAGAAGGTTGGAAATAAAGAGCATACCGCGATTTTAATTAGCATTTCGATTCAACAGAAATGCGCAAATGAGGATTGCCTGTATCACTTTTGGGAAGTTTAAGAGAATGGAATACATTTTCAAAAGGGGTTTAAGTACTTTGTAAAAGCCTCAAAAACAATGAAACAAAACTACGCCATCTAACAAAAAAACAAAAAAAAAATCTATTGTTCCTTGTTGCGTGATAACATTGTGCAACTTGTTGCTCTGTTCATCTGTTTAATTTAACATTTTTCTCTCAAATACTAGTTATTTTAAACGGAAATTTTCGTTTATCTGTCTAATCTTTATCATTTTATAACATTGTGCAGCACTGTGATAAAGTGTTTACTTTCATCCCGCATATCTATTTTAAATGATAGATTGCACCAAATTGAGAACATCTATTATTTAAATATTCAAGTTAAAACAAACATTCAAGACATTGGTAATTTAAGTAGGCATTTCGGTTGTTCAATTTTTATAATTACATTTTTGCAATCATCAATTTATGGAAATTGTCCAGGTTAGTGGGAAAGGATACTACAGTATTAATCAAAATATAAAATTGATTAAATAAGCTTTATTTATTTCTGCCTCATATAGTTCTACTCAGTTATTCTCTAACACATTACCTAATTTTAATTGGAATATTTTCAAATACTTAAATAGTTTAATTCGATTTTATTCACTTATCGGAATGTACATCATAAGGTATTCTGTCTTTTAGGTCATAGATAGGTTATAATCATGAAGCAAGGATATCCTCATTTTTACTTCAAAAAGAAATGGCTATCTGATTCGGAGATAATGCATATGTAGAGAAAAAATGGTAAACAAGTACTTATTTTAGTTTAAATTAACTCATCATCTGACTGTATGTCCTGCTTATGCCATCTACTGATTGATATGGTTATTAAGTGATAGGTTAACTTCAAGCAATCCAATTTTTATTTCTTTCTGAAAATGCATTATACTTAATGAATTGTTATTATTGCTAATCCTAAGCTCTTAAGATAATCATAAATGAAAAATTGTAACAAAAGAATATATCCACGGATACGTACTGTTGTAGTACGGTACCGCCATTTTCGGATTATTCTGAAGATTGTTTTTCTTGTTGTGTTATGGTGCAAATGTCTCATATGGCGGTATTGGTTGTTCGAATAGTTGAGATACTGAATGTGTAAATTTTGTTGAATGATGGAAGCAAATAGAATAGGCATGAAGTTCCTTATAAATCTGCCAAATTTTTTTCAACAAATTATTAAATTAAATAATACATTATCTTTTGTTAATAAATTCTACCACTATTATCATTTGACTGGTTTGTTGTGAATTGATTTTCAAAATTTTATCAAATCGCAAATAAATTTTCAAAAACTACCCATATATATTGCTTCTTTGAAATAACAATGATAATTCATAGCTTAACTTCCAGGACGAAGTCTGGTACAAAAGGCACAACAGATGATTCTATGGGGTGCAATAATGGAGCGAACTGATTCTTGAAACGTCATCTTTTCCGTACGAAAAAGATTTTATGTTCCGTTTGAAAGATGATAGCAGCACTGTAGATTGTATGTTTCCATACTTTTTATTAGAAGCCAGAGTGGATCAATGCGGACGTTTAAGTGACCTGTCCAGCATAATTGTGTTTTAAGTAGCATTGCCTTTGTATTGATAATCTTTGCTTACTTAAGGATGATAAAGTGATAAGTGTAGTCGATGTTTAGGATGGTACGGAGGGATTACTGTGGGAATTGCAGGTGATGGCCTAGTTGCAGATATTCTGCGATTCTAATCTATACAAGAGAACTACAGTATAATGACTTTGTAGACACTGAGAGTTACAGTATGACGATTCTGTAGACATTGGGAGGAGCTACAGTGTGACGATTCTGTAGACATTGGTCTTGTTTTCTCCAGGTGCTTATTGGGATTTGTTTTAATTTTTTTAATGGAATTTCCCAAATGCTCTGTATGTCTTTGCTAATTTGCTTGTCAATCTTGGTATCCAAGGAAATGCTTCCTAGACAAGTAAATTGATGTAGATAAACTTATAGTGAGTGATATGAAGAGATGATAACCGATCTATGGTGATACTTCTGTCTTCTTCAAACTAATATTCAATCCAGAAATCTTTGCAGTTTCTACAAAGCAAGAAGTTAAGTGTTACAAGGATTCTAGTATAGAGTTTTGATAAGTGCTTTCAGTGATCCAAGATTGAAACGAACTGCGTCAGTATGATATCGAATGTAAATACCATTTTCTTCATCGAGGTCTACCGCCACTCTGGAGCTTTATGCTAAAGATTAATGTGAATAGGATGATGCGAGAACGCAACCTTCACAAGATTTTGTTCGAAAAACCGATTTATAATGTGTGAAACAAAACTATATTAATCCAAAGATCATTATTATAAACAATTGACACGTAATGTTAAAATTCATCTGTTATTAAACAAAAATTGAATATTCTTAGACACAAATATAAAATTGTTTCAAAATTATATATCGTGTACAATCATTTATCTAACACTAATCTTCCAGTTGTAGCTGAATCTGGTAGAATAGTTCTTCCATTGTAATCCTTCGCTTGTTGTAAGCCAGTGCCCACTATATAAGGACTTGAACTCTTTGTTTGAGTCAGTCTTAACTGACAATCAGTCATAATCTCAGTACTTTCGCTACATCGGAACAATCTTTGATCTGCATTCAACCCCAACAAATATAATTCGATACCATATAATAATCCTTATGACGTCGAGTAAGAAATTTTTTTTCTATTATTCGTTTGTATTAATCAATCAACTATAATACCTTTATCATTAACAAAAAAAAAAATTCAGATAGATTCATTTTGATCATCGTGAAAGGCTCAGTGGAATGTCATATCTGACTTCATCGCGCTGATTATCTTGTAACAAAATAACCATGGTGAAGGATTTAGAAGAGCATTACAAAATTTATCATAAGTATTTCTTACTCATGATTCGAATGCTTTAATAAGGTCAACAAAGGTCACAGCGAAAGTGACTTTTCTCTTTGCACCTTTCTTGTACTGTCTGAGAATAAATATCATATCTGCATTGTTTGTGTTAGCTCGAAAATTACAATGGCTTTCAGGTATAAGTATTTTTGTAATATTAATCTTAGAAATAATCTTTCAGGAATTTTACGAACTAAAAAAATGATACTTTGGTAGTTGAGTCCAATGTTGAGAACTGGGCATAGCTTCTACTTTCCCAAGTAGAAGCTATGCCCAGTTCAGTTTTTTTTAATTGTTAAGTGATATACTGAAGTGCTTACTGTTTCATTAAACGATGGGCATTGAAAAGAGGTCAAAAGGATTTGAACTACTCGGTTGACAGTGGAAGATTTATTTGTGAGAAGGAAGAGACTGACTGAGAATAGAGGTATATGAATCTAATGTATTGGTCCATGCACTACTTTTAGAGTTCACTGTGGTCGCAACAATCCGGAAATGACTGAGTATTAGATTGATCCATCACTTGTTCTTGATATTCTGAGATTTTTGCTAGCGTACAAGATGTGCTAGATCAAAAGTTGTTTTTCTTGCTAAACGGAATGGATGAGCGTGTAGACTGTTAACATCAAACCGATCTTTAAGTTCTTTGATGGGAACCGTAAGCAATTCTACGAGTTCTACTGGGTGCTATTTTTAATGAATTGGTAAAGTATTTTAGGAGAAGAATCTAATAGTGATTCGCAAGTAGTAATTTCAACATTGTTCACTCTTAGTTTCTTTTTTTAGGCTTCGCATCAAAGTGGTAATTGCACTAAGCATCATAACTCGAATATGACAAATGCTTGCTTCTGTGATGCATTACGATATAGCCAATGAGCCGATGCAGAATACATCCAAGTCGTTCTTAGGCTGTCTCTATGTTGAAAGATTCTATTTGTGATCGTTAATTTTTGCTCTGCGCGCAAAACTCTATCAGAAGATGTCCATTGTCGCTGCAGTTTGCAACACTATGTTTGCCTAGCAATACTTGTTCTCCAGCTTCAGAGTTCTGTTTTACTCTGTCATTGAAGTTAAAGATTATGATTTTGTCATTTACAGAACTGTTTTAAATGATTAGGATTAGTGATTTTTTCCGCGCGATTAGTTTGAAGAGCTCGGGCATATATACTGCAAAGGACAACATGTTGCTTATTATGCAAAAAAAAAAACGATTAGAACGAAATGCCGTCGGCAAGTTAAGTTTGGAAACAACTGAGTTCTTGATCATGAAGTCAGCTGCTGTTGGAAAACTGAAGAAAGCCATACGGCAATGAAAGTTTCTATATAAACCATACAGGATTCACCATATCATACAAAAAATTAACTGCAACGTTTTCTCTATCAGTGATAAATCTGTTATCAATTCAAATCGTGTAGCATATAAAGTATTATGCACATCTGTTATGCTAATCATCAGAAATTTTTATTTTTTGTAGTAATTTCATCCACTACATAAATTCTAATTTTGTATTTTATTGTAGCATAACTTACTTGTCTATAATATTGTATATATATAAGTCCTAGTTAACTATTTTGATTCATCGATTAAACCCTCTAAATCGAATGTTCTACTAGACTATTGTCCTGGATTACTATACCTTTACTTTTAGATCACTGTACTTTTATTCTAAGTTAAGACTCTATATTTGGTTATTTGTGTACTGTAAATCGGTGTTTTTTTCTGTGCCAAGAAAATTGAGTTGGGTTACAAAAATGCTCGCTTATTGAAACAATTTGTTTCAACGTTTCCCAGAAGAGAAATAGTCAACGCAATTCAATAAAAAACAATAATCTAACTTGTCATGTGATTCAACTCCTGACTGAAAACATTCGGTTTCCGGTTATCTGATCAGAAAAGTGTGGTCAGTACTATTTTCTTTGATACTGCTTAGACGAATTTCACTAAGGCCAACAATATTGACAATTTTTGGCTCGGGACATCCACTATCTGCAGTATCAAGCATGGATCGAATGAGAGATTCAATCTAAACGGGAGGATGTATGACTTCCCTTTTGCTGTCCCCATCTGACCGCAACAAAAGATTGTGACAGTGGTTGGCCAACATGTAGATGAGCCTTGCTTAGCCCAATCTTTTAAGCCTCTGTCTATATAAAGCAAACAATGCTGTCCTTGGTATCAATCTAGAATTACCAAAATCCTGAACTTTCTTCATGCATTTATGGCTTCTAATGTACCATTTCATCTACCATTTCAATCCTCACTTGTAGCTACAAAGTTTGTGAAAGTCGATATATCTTTTAAGCTTACGCAAAGGCTTTTCAAATTAAGCATAACGTGATCTTATCCTCTACACTTGAATGTCATCTGTCAGCGCTCGCAAACTTGAATAGTTTAGTGGTAGTTTGAACGGAATCTCTCAGATGGTATATTTGTTTGGAGTATCCTCCTAGTATGTGGAAGTTTTACAAATGAACATTCCACAAGAAATAAATGTTTGTTTTTTAATCAGTTGCTTATCTTTCAAATGCTATTCACTTTTTTCTTTTCATTTTAAATTTTCAACCGAAGAATAAAAGCATATGAACCAGAATATTGATTATAGATTAAAATTTAACTTAAAATATTTGAAAATTAAATTAAACAAATGAGTTCTTTTAATTTTTTTTTTGCATGTATGATGTATGCATATATAAATATATTAGCATCTATGCAATCAAGTAAGTAAAAACTTAAAAAATAAAACTTAAAATTAAATTTTAAGTTACTATGAAAGCATATGCTTATTTACTCTACTTACAGATTTGAAATCAGAATTGTTCTCTTGGCTGAAAGCTAATCAGTCCATACCAAACTTTCTATGACCTTTTCAGTTAAAATATATTTGACTTGGAAAGACTTACATATCACCGCCAGCATAGCTCGGAATCCCAAGGACACATAAACTCGTCTTCCATAACAAAGGGTTTGTCTGAAGAGGAGAAAAACGATAATAGAACGATAGTATACAATCATTATAATAAGTAAATAACTTCAAATGAAATAATAGGTAGAAAGTGCTAACAAATTAGAAAGTATCACAAAAAATCCTTAGTAAACTTATCATGTTGACAGCATTCATTCAAACGCTGTTTTTTTCTTTCACTGAATCGGATGTTGCTTCAGATTTTAAATAATAGCTGAGAAACCGGTTTCGCCATCAAACCGGTTCGAAAAGTTTTCAACTTCACAAAAGCAGGAAGGAATGACGGACATGTTGCTTTTGTATTTAACAAGTTTTTCGTGTTCGCTTTTTATTTCAATAAAGAATAATATTAATTTAACAAATAAGGAAATATATCATGTTGTTTAAAGATGACTGCCCATAGTTTACATGATATGATAAGTTTTAATCCAAACTGAGTTGCTTTACATTTGAAATTTTGGACTTAAATTCAAAAATTATGCATTGATGTAACAAAAAAGCATACATCGATTTAAAAATAAAAAGCTATTTTGTCTAAGATTTTAGTTTGGAATGTTTAAAATCTGTTGAAATTCACTTGATGCTTAGAAATTGAAGCACATGAAAAATATTATTATGTTCTTTTAAGATAAATACAGAATTATTAATGGAAATAAAAACAACACGGGAAAAAAGGGACAATTAATATTTTGCACTAATCTCACTGAATATTAATACTTTAGATGATTTTTAATCAAAATCTGATGAGATAAAAAAAAATTTACTCAAAATTCAATAAAACTTTTCTTTTTTTTTTAAAAAAAAAAAAAACATTGGTAGTATCCATTTGGACCCGAAATATTAAAATTTTAATTTTCAAAAACATCCTTAATAGATTTCAAATGATACTTATTCTAAATATATGATATAATTTGAATATAATTCGAAGAATTTCAGCGAATATAAATGTCCATGAAGAACTCTCTTGCTTCTTTAAGTCTATTTCGAATGTTTCTTCACCTCAATCCGAATAATCCACCACCAAGAGAAGGTAACTTGTATGGAGGTGGTGGTGGAGGTGATGCTATATATGCTGGTGCTGGAGGTACCTTATATGATGGTTGTGGAGGAGGAGGAGGAGCACTGAAATAAATCAAAATTATAATTAATATTATTACGACGATAAATTTAATTTATTTCGAAAAATGGAAGCAAAATTTGACTTAAGTTATTCATAATATCTCGCAATAATGATTGCTTTCCAGTTAACAATCAAATATGAAAAAATTATCACAAACGGTAGATGAAAGTTATTATCAAATATTTATTAGAAATTGTGATTTTTTTTTAGAATTTCAATAGGCTTTCTGAATTTCAAGATTAAAATTCATCAAATACTTAAAATAGAATAAAATCTAAGTTAATTATATCAAAGATTCCATTACCCATATACTAGCTTTGAATTTAACTTTAAAATTTCAATAACTACATATTTACATTTGGCCGCATCCGCATCTACAGCCGCATCCACCACATCCACCGCATCCACCACATCCACCACATCCACCGCATTCCTTTTTCTTATCACTAGGGAAAATATTACCACAACACGAAGATTGTGGTAACAGCCATGAATAGTCTGGCAGTGATGGCAGGAAAGGTGAGAACGAGGGTAATTCCGGCTTTGCCCCCCCAGCGCAGCAGCATTTACCGGCAAGGTGCGGAAGACTTTGCTCAAACATCATAATCAATAAGATCTAAAAAATGAGTTATTTAATTGATTGAAGACTAAACAGTGATTTTTGGAATTATTTAAAAAGGTTAAAGATCACATTGAGATATATGTTTTTTTAAATAATTTCTGTTAGCGATTAAAAAAAATTGTTCTCAAATAAAAACTAAATTATCACAGATTTTTTTAAAAAAAGTAAACATAATAATTATCCTTAACAATATTTTGCATTCGTGCAATAGCACATTAATGTTTATTTTATAAATCTTCAAAAGATTGAAAATGAAATAAAAGCATACCGCTATTTTAATTAGCATATTCATTTGAAAGGAATGCACAAATGAAGATTGCTCAGGATTTTATTAATTTTAAGTAGGATTCAGGATGATGAAAATAAACGTTAGAAAGGAGTTTAAGTACTTCCCAAAAGGAATTTAAATGCCTCGAAGGTATGAAAAAAAAAAAAAAAAACTGCATCATGTTACAAAAAAAACGGAAAAAAACGAAAAGTTTTTGATGAGAAAACTTTATTACTCTATGTAACATACGTAATAAAATTGTGCGATTCTTTTTTTGTTTTTGTTTTTTTCCGTAAGTATTAATGTGTTCATCCGTATATTTGTAAATTTTTGTAAAAATATGTAAATGAATGATGTGTATAATGTAGAAATTTTATTTTTACAAATACTAGTTATTTTAGACAAAAGGAAAAATTTATTTTGTAAATTTACTGAGAATTGTTGATTTGAATATAAAAATGAGTTAATTACTGAAATTAGAATAGAAAGAATAGCAATGTATCATTGAAATAAATGAAAGAAGATTGAAGAGGAGTGAGAATAGAAAAAGAAAGCCAAAAAATGAATTTAAATTGTCGTTAATGTCTTTTCTCTTCCTTTTACTCTCCCTTCCTTACTTTTTCTGCTTCCTTTTCATTTTTGCTCATTTCAGCAAATATTTACATTTATCATTTTTATATTCACTGATTAGCTTTTTCTAAAACCCAAAATTTGATCAAAATTGAATTCAAATTTATGCATTAAATTTTAACTAAAGTTTATGTATTATATTGTTTGCTATATTTCAAAATTTGCTAATGATTTTATAAAATTTCTTTTGCTGTTGCAAATATATTATTTTAAATAAAGATAATATAGCATCAGTAAGCGTGATAGTGGCGCTCAAACGTGTCAAGATTCCGCGTGATATGCGAAATTCGTAGCTTTTCACTTTATACGTAATACGTGTTCATCTTGGTTTACATATGTAACTTTAAAAATTTGTTGCAAAAAGAAAGGTAAACATTCGATAACAATTACTTTCTCATCTCATAACAAAGCTCAACGTTCAATCTTGTTTCTTTGGAAAGATATATTGAAAACAAATAAAATAAAATAAACATATAGAATTTAAAAAAAAAAAAAATTTAAAAACAAAAAAAAATAGAAAAATTTGAAAGAAAGAAAAAAAATTACTCTTTGAAAGAATAAAATCGATAACCAAATGAATAGAAATTTTACAACCTTGCATAAATTTTTGCTTTAATTAGAAATGATGTAAACTAAGTGTGAATGATATTGATATCATTATGACAATTATTTTATTATCTTACTATTAACTATGTTAGAGTAAAATTTATCACCTCCTATAATTCAATTCACAGTTTTTAAAAAACTATTTCTATCTTTTTTTTTAAAAAGCTTCTATGCATTTCGTACCAACCATATTTTTTTTCTATCACTTCAACAACATTTATTGCAAATTACTTTGTATATTTTTTATACAAATTAAATTTTATAAGTTATAATAACTATTTAGGCACATTTAAAGATAATAATAAAATAATTGTCATGCTATTTTATTTTTTGAATTATTTCAAATTAATTTAAAAAATCTTTATCAAGAATAATTTGGCAGAACGCTAAATTATTGAACAACTTTAATTTCAGTTTAAACTTTTTTTTTAAATGGATGACCACTTCATTTCATGCAATACTTTAACTGTTAAATTGGGCGATAAAAAAATATTATGACTGTCAGAAAAAATAAAATGATAAATGGTTTCTGTTTACAATGTTGAAAAGTGCTGAAAACAAGAAACAATCATCACAACTTCAAATATAAAAGAAAAAAGACAGATTACTTTAAACTACAGTGAAAATATTATTTAAAAAAGAAAAAAAAAAAACTTGCTGAAAGTTTTGATGCATCAAAACAAAAAATAATAATAATAATAATATTGTTAGCAATACTTACTTACATATTTTATGTATTTTCATATTACCCAAAATATGTTAGTACTGCTAAAAGTTTAATGTTTGACATGATGGAAACTGAAAAAAAAAAAAAAAAAAAAACAAGTAAAATAAATTTAACTTTTTAATGGATTACAGACATTTATTATTTTAACTTTAAATAAACAATATTCCTGAAATTCTTAAACATAAAATTGGAATAGTAAAATTGCATATGACTTTATTCTTTTTCTTATATTCAATCACATTACCAAAAAAAAAATATTATTTGAGAACCATTTAGATTAATATATATGCGAGTAAGTCTAAAATATTATAAATATTCGGGCGCTAATGAACAATATGATTTTGCATAGATTAATTTAACAAAAAAAAAAAAAAAAAATACACGTTACAATTTATGCTAATTTAAAAACCTTCGGTTACAACTTATATCAAACGTTAAACTTTCGATTTTTTTTTTCCTCAAAATTCTTTTTGTTGTCGGAATGATAAATACGAGTGCACAAGGTCAACTTAATACAATTTTATCAATGAAACCATAATAAATTAGCAGTGGTTTTTTTCAAACGAAAAACAACCAAATAAAATTTTTTTGAATTTATTTTAAAATTCTTATAAAAAAAATAAGCCTAGAAAAAACAATCTGTTATGGATTCCGAACGAAAATGAAAGTTTTTTGTGTTGAATTAATTGCAAAAGATTGAATAACAACCCAATAAAAATTAAATTTAGTGGATATAAAAAATTCAGATTTGGACATAAAATTAGTAAAATTAGTGAAAGTAAACTGCAACATTTTCTTGATAGAAAATACATCAAAAATTTGAATTCAAAAATTATTGATTATTATAACATTGAAAAGTATATCATTGAACAGTTATACATTGTCGGTTTGATAAGAGACAAAGCCAACAGAATCGTTAATCCTTTCGCAATTTGCTGACCTCGTTGAATACAATAAATATCCAACCTGAATATCTCTTCACTATTTTCCGGTTCATGCCACTAACTACCATAAAATGGTATGCTATCCTTTGATATTTATCGAGAAAAAACAATTTCTCCCGCAAAAAAAAAAAAA